CTTGAAGCTGTTCGAACTTAGGACTAAAATTATATTTACATTTTTTTAAGGCATAACTAACGGCATTTAGAAAAGCCGGTCCAAAATTATCTTTGTATTTCAAGTGGAAACTACCTTCCACCGCGCTCTCCGCCATCTTGGTAATTGTATAGGACTAGGTAACCTCGTGATTACCACATCGGTGTGGTAATCACGAGGTCGCTAAGCTGACATGCGCATGCAAGTTATACTGGACTCTCTTTCCCCAGCGATTCCGCGAGCGTCGGAAACGAGAGGCCAGGACTGGACTAGTTGCCCCGCTATTTTGGTCTAGTAGTAAATAACAAAAACAAAGACCTTTCAATCAAATTATCTGTGATACACAGGGTTAGTTTTTGCACAATCCTGTATATTCATTTGCGTACTACATGAGGTTAACTGGATCACGGAGAAAAACATGGGTAATAAGTTAAGTTTCTCTTAAAAAATTTTCATGCAAGGTAGTTTCCAGTCTCATACATGTTCAAACGCGCATTAAAATCCCCACTCTTTGCCCCGCTTCGAAAACAATTCATCAAAATCCCGACCCCCGGGGCAATCTTGCTGTTAATAGCATGTTAAAAACGCGTCACGTCCCCGTTCAGTGCCCCGGGGTTCAAGATTGACTAGTGCATTAAGATCGAAGTGGATGCATTCCCCTTTTCTGTATGAGTTTCTTGGTCGAACGAAAGCCTATCTGAAAGTCAGCCTGGTAAAAAAGCCGAGGAAAACTGAATAAAGCCAGACACATTGTCGGGGATCGGGTGCTGATTTGTTTCAAAATTGCACTCGCATTGATTAAAAAGAGACTTGAACAAAAGTCGAATCGGGATTACATTGGTTATAAACCAACCCCCCCCCCCCCCCCCCCCCCCCCCCCCTTACACATCATAGTCGCAAATGATTTCAAGTGATTTTATAATTTGCAATGACTGTTTAATTCATTTTATTCAGATTTCTTTTCAATTCTGCTTGGTTCACTTGTAATATCCGAGCTGACGACTAATGGGACCAGGAGACCGTCGCACCAAATGGGTTCCCTTTGCATTTTATAGCTGGAGCACCAACATTGTTACCCCACGGGAAGCTCTGTGACGTAGAACCGGTAGTACAGCCAAGGTAATGCCAGCCAAAACTCGAACAAGAACGACCAGTACCACAGGCAAGAACCTGACAGCATATCATAGTATCACCATTTACTGTTATGGAATATTTTACTCTTGTGCTGGAGCTTCCAAAGATGGATACACTGGAATAGCAGGCTCCGCCATAAGCAAATGGCGGTGCATAGCAACCACCGTTGTATCCAAGCGACACACCAACCAATGACAGCAAGAGTATAAGGAGTGACTTCATATTCAAAGGCTATTTGGAAAGAATAAGAGAAATACATTCATGCCAGAATACATATATCAGCAATCTAGCTAAGGAATGTACAACGTCCACCTCTAGTTGCGCAACTAACGCATGAAGCTAGCCGACCGCTGACATGCAAGTTTACCTCGGGTTAACTTGGCATAAATTACACTTAGTCCAATTTTTTTGGCTATGATGGCTAGCTTTTTAACGTGGTATTCTGCGTTGTCTATCAGCACAAATATAGTTTGCCTCAAGCTAACTAAAACAAACTAACTAAACAAACCCTTTTCTTAGATTTTTGGTAAAGTGTACATGGACTTTGTACACGCACCATGCTGTTTAAACATTAGAGTAGAGTTGATTGTACAGCCACAGGCAGTACAGAAAAGATTCATCTCAATGTACCCTGATAGGTCCTGATACGTACAGTATTTTAGTTGCTAATGAATTAGTAGACTGTCGCGCGCTTTTAAAACTGAATGTTCTTTTAGGTTGACACTGAACTTAGGACAATTATTGCGCATGCGTTATGAANAAATTTGCAATGACTGTTTAATCCATTTTATTCAGATTTCTTTTCAATTCTGCTTGGTTCACTTGTAATGTCCGAGCTGACGACTAATGGGACCAGGAGACCGTCGCACCAAATGGATTCCCTTTGCATTTTATACCTGGAGCACCAACATTGTTACCCCACAGGAAGCTCTGTGACGTAGAACCGGTAGTACAGCCAAGGTAATGCCAGCCAAATTTCGTACAAGTACGACCAGTACCACAGGCAAGAACCTTACAGCATATCGTAGTACCACCTTTTACTGATATGGAATATTTTACTCTTGTGCTGGAGATTCCAGAGATGGATACACTGGAATAGCAGGCTCCGCCATAAGCAAATGGCGGTGCAAAGCAACCACCGTTGTATCCAAGCGACACACCAACCACTGACAGCAAGAGTATAAGGAGTGACTTCATATTCAAAGGCTATTTGGAAAGAATAAGAGAAATACATTCATGCCAGAATACATATATCAGCAATCTAGCTAAGGAATGCACAACGTCCACCATGTACTCTTGCGCAACTAACGTATGAAACTAGCGACCGCTGACATGCAAGTTTATCTCGGTTTTAACGTTGCCTAAATTACATTAAGACCCTGTTTACATGAGAGAGGGTACCCCTAGTGGTAGGGCCAAAATCCTTTGTTTTAAATCCTCCAGGGAAAAGAAAACAAAAGGTTTAGCCCTACCACGTAGGGGCACCCTATCTCATGCAAACAGGGTCTTAGCCCCATATAACTATTGAAATACATGTTCAACTAAACCTTTTGTTGGCTAGCTCTTGAAGCTTTGTGTTCTGCGTTGTTGTCTATCACAAATATAGTTGCCTTAAGCGAACTAAAACAAACAAGCTAAAACAAACCCTTTTTTTAGATTTTTCGTAAAGTGTGCATGGACTTTGTACATGCACCATGCTGTTTAAACATTAGAGTAGAGTTGATTGTACAGCCACAGGCAGTACAGAAAAGATTCATCTCAATGTACCCTGATAGGTCCTGATACGTACAGTATTTTAGTTGCTAATGAATTAGTAGATTGTCGCGCGCTTTTAAAACTGAATGTTCTTTTAGGTTGACACTGAGCTTAGGACAATTGTTGCGCATGCGTTATGAAGGCTCTAGTATTTCATATTGAAAAAGGGCGTTTTCATTTTTACGAATGTTCTCATAGTATCTTAATTTTCTGATAAACTGACAAGATAGACCGTTGTTTGGCCGTTTTTTGGACTCGGGAAGTAAGGTAAAAGTCCCTCTCCGCTCTGGAGGATTTCACTCCAGCTAAAACATTTTGGATTGAATTCAGTTTTTAAAGTCGAGATTCATCAACCTATAACAGCGATTAGGCAACGATTAACTGAAGCAAAATGGTGCCACAAGTTGTCGAGCTGCAACGGTCGACACAATTGGGCTGTCACTAGTGTCACTCAAGTCTAAATAAGTTTTATAATCAATCAATCAATTATTTGCCCGTCCCTCCTCAAGAGATATTTAGCTGTCATTCTACTTGAATGACGTTCAACCTTTACTAATTAAACTGTTTTCCTTTCGCCTTAAACAGGCTTTCAGTATTTGACTTGGCTCATAATCGTTCAATCGCTTATAAACTGTTCTTAAAAGTGTCTTCATAGGTTGACCTTTTCTTTTCCTTTTTACATCTGAAAACGTTAGTTTCTTAATGTATCTTATATTTGATGAACGTACGATGTGCGAGAACCATTTTAGTTGTTGATTATGGACAAATTCCTCCAATGGTGTTGCCATACTGTATTGTATAATTTGCTGGTTATTTAGGGTAAACGACATATCTGTATCTTGTGAGGTAGTTGTGGAATCACTAGCTTTAGGTACCTTTCTCTTGTGTCCTCCTCTTACTAAATTACGTAGATAGTAGTTGTATGTAGCAGTAAAAGTGTTCAGAGAAGCTTCTGGTAACGACCAAGTCTGGCATGAATACGTAAGTTTACTTCTAAACATAGAGTCGAATATCTTTCTTCTTGTTACAAGCGAGACAGCGTGATTTTTGTAGAATAGTTCATCTTTAAAATAGGTGTTAATAGCCGAGAACTTTCTTGTCGTTATCTCGCAGTTTGGGGTATATGCCTCATTGTATGTGAAATTCTGTCCAAGGGTAAGTAAAAGTCTCGATGTTTTAGTTTGAGATGCTCATTGTTAATTGTACAAATCGTTTCAGGATATGTTATTTCATCATACTTATCAGACATAACCATGGTTCTGGTTTTGTCCAGCGACATCTGCAGGCCAAATCTTGTTAATATATTGTAGAGATTTTCCATGGCAGTTTGGAGTTTTACAGCTGAGTTAGTTATATTATAGCCAAGTCATCTGCATATCCAGGCCATAATAGAGATAGTACTCCAGAGCCCTTATCTTCTGAACGTTGTGAACGATCACTTGCTTCGTTGGGTATTCTGTAAGGAATTGTGATATGTAGGTTTTCGTGTTGACATTCGTATTCAAGATATAAGTTGAAGCAGTATGGGCTTTCACAGCCACCTTGTCTTACGCCACTTGTTAGTCGGACTAGCCGAAGGCGGTCCGACTTTAAATTTACCTTTTAGCCTATCTATCTATGTATTATGTCGCGTTTGGACCACCGGAAGTTAAGAATTTAATGATTAACTATTGGGTTGGCTGTGTTATTACATGACCGGAAGCTCAAGCGTATTGATGTACGAATATCGTTAGTAAATGTTATATGCTACTTGGCTTTTATATGACAAAAAAACTATTCGTTTACAAATGTGGTATCTGTGATCTCATCGGAATGCGTCTGTCTAGGCATTAGAAGTACGCGCATGTGCAGATCGCATAGAGTTTCGAGTTGTATGCTTACAAAACTGAATCAATATCCTTTCTAGTGTTAGACAGTCTTGTGGGGGCAAAGATTTCAAATTAGAACAAGAAGAAACTTTGTTTATCAATAACAGAAAGGCGAATTTAATGATTTTATAGGCATCTTTTTCCTTGTAAAGTTTTTATTTTCTTTGCCTGAGAGGTCAACGTTTTAGATATCATATATCACTTAGCGAGACATTTGTCTGAGNATGATTTCAAGTGATTTAATAAACTTGCAATGACTGTTTAATCCATTTTATTCAGATTTATTTTCAATTCTGCTTGGTTCACTTGTCCGAGATGACGACTAATGGGACCAGGAGACCGTCGCACCAAATGGGTTCCCTTTACATTTTATAGCTGGAGCACCAACATTGTTACCCCACGGGAAGCTCTGTGACGTAGAACCGGTAGTACAGCCAAGGTAATGCCAGCCAAATTTCGAACAAGTACGACCAGTACCACAGGCAAGAACCTGACAGCATATCATAGTATCACCATTTACTGATATGGAATATTTTACTCTTGTGCTGGAGCTTCCAAAGATGGATACACTAGAATAGCAGGGTTTGCCATACACGTTAAATGGCGGTGCATAGCAACTACCCCTGTATCCAAGTGACACAGCAACCAATGACAGCAAGAGTATAAGGAGTGACTTCATCTTCAAAGGCTATTTGTAAAGAATAAGAGAAATACATTCATGCCGGAATACATATATCAGCAATCTAGCTAAGGAATGCACAACGTCCACCACTGATGTACTCTTTCGCAACTAACGTATGAAACTAGTGACCGCTGACATGCAAGTTTATCTCGGTTTTAACTTTGCCTAAAGTACATTAAGACCCTGTTTACATGAGATAGGGTGCCCCTAGTGGTTGGGCCAAAATCCTTTGTTTTAAATCCTCCGGGGAAAAGAAAACAAAAGAGTTAGCCCTACCACGTAGGGGCACCCTATCTCATATAAACAGGGTCTTAGCCCCATATAACTATTGAAATACATGTTCAACTAAACCTTTTGTTGGCTAGTTCTTGAAGCTTTGTGTTCTGCGTTGTTGTCTATCGGCACAAATATAGTTTGCCTTCAGGTAACTAAAACAAACAAGCTAAAACAAACCTTTTTCTTAGATTTTTCGTAAAGTGTGAATGGACTTTGTACATGCACCATGCTGTTTAAACATTAGAGTAGAGTTGATTGTACAGCCACAGGCAGTACAGAAAAGATTCATCTCAATGTACCCTGATAGGTCCTGATACGTACAGTATTTTAGTTGCTAATGAATTAGTAGACTGTCGCGCGCTTTTAAAACTGAATGTTCTTTTAGGTTGACACTGAACTTAGGACAATTATTGCGCATGCGTTATGAARRCTCTAGYATTTCATATTGAAAAAGGGTGTTTTCATTTTTACGAATGTCCTCATAGTATCTTAATTTTCTGAYAAATTGACAATATAGAGCGTTATTTGGCCGTTTCAGAATTCATTTAACGGAGCAGCGTTTGTTTGAATACCAAAGAAAGGATATTCGTTGCCCTTCAAATGGTTGCTGGACTATTAATGTGAATTTCATGGCTGAATTGCTTCATTGTTAGTACTAATAGTGAGCTTTGTAACTCGAATTATTCATACTCAATCATATTTCCTCTGAAAGTCAYAGTATTATAAAGTAATGCTCTGCCCGTTCTTTGTGATTTATAGTTATTACTAATCCAAATGTCCGTCAGCCTCGGGAAGTAAGGTAAACGTCCCTCCCCACTGTGGAGGCTTTTACTCCAGACAAAACATTTTGGATAAAAATTGTTCAAATCGAGATTCATTAACCCATAATAGCGATTAGGCAACGATTAATTGAAGCAAAATGGTGCCGCAAGTTGTCGAGCTGCAACGGTCGACACAATTGGGCTGTCACTAGTGTCACTCAAGTCTAAATAAGTTTTATTTTTTGTTTTATCTACAGTTATATTCTTAAAAACTAACCTTCAGTGCTCTCGTGGTTATTCTTATGACCCTTGAAGTTATTCAGATATCCAGATCCAACTGGTACAACTTCGTACTACACACATTGATACTAGAATGTCAGATTTATGACGCACTGAGACCGCTCCTCCCACTTCACGAACATTCGGGGCTTTTGTTGATTTGGCTCAAAAAATACGATTTTGTGAAGATATATTTCTATTTGTATATAACAGTGTTAAGTTCGAACCGAAATTCATATGACTGGATTAATCCCCTTCTAAGTATGAGTTTCTGGGTCGAACCAAATCTCATATGAAACTTAACTCAAGCTCTCTCTTGTGAAAAAGCCGAGGAAAACTGAAAAAAACATTCTTTGGAAATCACAATCATTGATTAAAATGACAATACTTACATATAAACAAGAGTCGAATCGGGACTACATTCGTTATAAACCGACCCCCTTGACCGGCGTTAATCGATTAACTTTTTTACTAAAGGATTTTTACTGAGAATTCAATCCAGATCTATTATGTCATACTTTTGTTTTGAGATAGCTGCATGCTTAATGGTTTCATTTTTTGAAGGCTTCCGTCTGAAAATACCCTATAAATTTATAAGATCCTTTTAGCCATGTATCATAGAATAGAATGCCGTTATTCGATTAACGTTTTACTGCAGGATTGCTGAGAAATTCGATTGCCTGATTTTTTTAAGGGTTCCGTTTTCAAATACCCTATAAATTCATACGATCCATTTAGCTATGGATCACTGGTCTACAATGCCGTTATTCGATTATTTTTTTAATGCAGGATTGCTGAGAAATTCAATTCAATTTCACAGTCATTATATCATACTTTTGCTTTGAGATCGGTGCATGGTTTTGGGCATACTGCGCGCCAATTGGATTGATTTTTTGAAGGGTTCCGTCTTCAAATACCCTATATAAATTTATAGCATCCTTTTAGACATGAATCATAGGTCTAGAATGCCGTTATTCGATTAACTTTTTACTGCAGTAATGCTTATGAATTCAATTCAGGTTTAGTCGTGATACTGTTGTTTTTAGATCGATCGATGGTTTTGTGAAATTATACTTCTATTTTTTCAACCATACATATCAACTAAAATAATGCTGATTATGGTAGGTCTGTGCACGATAAATTTACTCCCTACAAACGTACATTTCGTGCTAAAGAGGMATTTATTTTTGAGGTTGAGAAGAGATCATTTTCAGTGTCAGTGATTCCGATTTTTAACCTGAACTACAGTTTTTTTCGTTAGCGCGATGATATTGCTACAGTTTTTACCAGTTGCTACCTGTCACGAAGCAAAATATTCAGTGTAAAGACCTGTCGCAGTGACATAGCTAATTTTTGCTCTTAGTTCTGTATTGTAAAAATCAAATAAGTTACTCATTCGATTAATCTTGATAAATTAAAGTCTTCTTTAATTTTCTTAACAAAAATTATCACTAAACGGAGGTACAAACCAGTTATAAATATATCGCAACATAAGAAAAGTAAGAAACAGTGGTGTCAATTCACCCGATGTAATAATCACCTTTGCAATCGTTTCTCTTGTTTTGCAAATGAGCGTATTGTAGAAAGTTGCTTTCTGATTGGTTCAAAATTTAAAGATGGCGAATTTTGGTATATGAAAGTCGCGCAAAGGTTCATGGATGCACGTGGGCCTCTAAAACATTACTATAATTCTGTCTTTATGGAGTAGCAGAAAATATTCCGCTTCGTAGGCCATGAGATCGAAGAGCTATATGTTTTGCTCTTTTAAAAATTTAAAAAAATATAATTTTTTTATAGCTTAAAATGTTTGAAATTGAAAAAGATTTGTTGCCGTACTGCAAGTTTGCAATAGATCTATACATCAAGTTCAGATGATACGAAAGTTCAATCATCATGTCAGTTCGACTGCATCTCGAGGACTGCATATTCATTCATCGATGATTTCAATTCTTCTGTGGCGAATAAAACTCGATTATTTCATCCAGTTTTGAGATGGAATTTCTCGCTTCATATTTCTTTAGTTTTTTTTTAAATTTAGCGCCTTCGCGAAGCCAGACTATCGATTCCCTGTTCAGAAACGTCAACTTTTGTCAAATAAAATCTCTCTCTTCCCCCGACGCGCGCACTACAAGGTGCCGCCCTGGGACTTGTCTGTTTTGCGAAATGCGTTGATGTATGGGGTCGCTGTTGTCTTTGAGACGCTCCAAGTTCAGCCAAAGTGGGCTCTTTTGCGTCGAATAAAGGAGTTTCTACTGCGGCCGTTTGGCGCAGTGCAGCAGAAATTTCTTCTTGTGTTGTGGGAAGACTTTTTCGTCGTTTTAGCCGTTGGGTTCGTTTGGTTTCAGGAGGTTGGCTTTCTAGAGGTTTTGGATCTACTCTTAAAGCAGCCAAGCTGACATTTGTTCTTGTTCTTGCCATGATTATTGCCTGCATTGATAAAAAACTTAATAAGCAGAAATGATAGTACCCCGACGACCGGGAAAGTGTTGAATGAAAGTGGATGAATGTCAAAATTGCGGATTCATTGGATTCACTGAATGATTGGTTGGTTGAACGGGATGTGATTGGTGGACTGGTAAGTAAATTTGATCAACAAACAATACAATTTTTACCTGCATTGTGTCCTTTGCAGTCCTCAGTGAACCAGCCTAGTAAAATGATAAGAACAATAACAATCTGTTATAAACTCGTATACATGAGCATTTTGCCTGATAGTTGTGATACTGACAGTTGATTGTACAAAATCATGTCAAGAGGGAAAAGCAAACGAGTTATCAAATACCAAGGTTAGCCCAAAGCAACGCTTGGTCAGCTGCACGCAAAGCAAACGCAGGCGAAAACGCAACAAAAGAGAACTTAAGATAACGCAACAAGACAACGCAAAGACGCGTGGCAATTCTCCGCAGTAGCAAAACGTAAGAATTTCAAGCAAGACTAAGTCAATGTACCTGCTTGGTTTCCTCTTTTGAATAAAGTCGAAGCACTTCTTCACATTTCTTCATGTAATGATGTCTGAAAGTACAACGAATGGATAAGCTTACGTAAGTCAGCCCATGCTGAAGAATGCTTACCTCAAGTCCGTGTTGTCTGTCATAAGTCCGTGCATGCGCATTGAGTACTTATTGTCAACTTCTGCAACCTGATACAAAATGGTGGATATTCATTGGTTATTGGGATGGTTTGTAGGCATGTTTAATTGCAGAGATTCTCCTCTGACAGTACAATATTCAACAAATAATGCATGTAACTATATAATTTATAAAACTGTTGCTGTACCTTTTCAGCAAAGTGTTCTTCATAACCAGCAAGTTTTACTTTCTGCGAAAAAAAAGAAATTGGGATARATATTGATAGACCAGAAATCATGCACATGCATAAAACTCATGATGCACTTGATAGTGAGGATATGAGAACGCCGGGAAAATCACCTTGTTTTCGAGTTCAGCTTGTGTTTTCTTTAACTTCTCTGTTGTAGTTTTTAATTTTTCCTTGAAATCTGCATTTTCTTGCATCATTGTCTGATTGAGAGAGAGGTTGGCAATGTAGTAAAAAAGTATTATAAACGATTATTATCTTTAGCTGCGTCAAGCCATCAGTGTCATTGACATTGAGATTGGAACATGATAGAGCCCGCGCCGTTCAATACTAGCACTGAAGCAATCACAGGAAATACGAGAAAAGAACAAACAGCTTTGCGTATTTCTTAAACGAACCTTCATTTCTGTCAAAGTCTTCTTAAGTGTTTCAGAGTCTTGGATACATTCAGCGAACTTTTCCATCAATCGCTAAAAATTCAACACAAACTCTCTTCATTGAATATATAGCTGGGTTTTTTCATATGAGTAGCATTGATTCTAAAATTATCTGCGAAAATAAAATGTATTATAAATAAATTGTAATACTTATACTTACATCGACTTCTTTTGCATGGTCCGCGACTAAAATCTGAATTTGTCGTTGATGTTCTTTATTTATTCCTTCAATCTCCGTGTTCTTTTCGTGCAAAAGCTCTTTTCCTGGAAAAATAGTAAGATAGTGATTGATTATTTCTTCTTGAAAAGATTAATACAGACATCATGGGCGAATCCTGGGAGGGCCAAAGGGGGGCTATAGCCCCTGCTTTGAACATAAAAGGTAAACAGTTTTTTTTCATATTTTCAATGTTATTTATAACAAATAAAGCCCCACTTAAAACCATGTAGCCCTCCTTAAAATTTCAACTGGTTCCGCCCTTGGACATTAAACCCGCGAAACAAAACTAATAGTTAAGATATGATTAAATAATAGCTAATGTAACGGGTGTTTCAGACTAGTTTCRCTCACGGAAAACTTACTCAGTTCAGATATCGCTTCTTCTGTTTGCTTTTCGCATTCGTGCTTGACTTCGCTCTGTGACAGAAAAGATGAAGTTGAGCTCTTTTGTATCCGCAAATTCATTTAAAAATTGCGAGTTGCGTCAACACGTATCCTGGACATATAACAACTCACATATCAACCCTCACCTCCCGTCTTTGCCATTTGTAGTCCATTTCAGTAGCCACCGTTTCCTACCAAAAAAGCAAAACCATTGAATTCAAAGTAATCGATATTAGAAAAAACAAAGACAAGTCTAAGTATTTTTACCTTGTAAGATTCAAATGATCCTTGCAATGTTTCTAGCTGACTTTCAATGCGTGCTAACCGATACAAATAATATGATAATGATAAAAAACGTTTAGCATAAACTCCCACACACACGAATCCGCAAACTATTCAGTCTCGAATTTTACGATTAAACTGCCACTATATTTAGTTAATTTTGATTTTTTGTTTACCTTTCTCAGCTTCACCAATTCTTTGTTGGTCTTGAATCTGTTTATTGAATTTATTCGCTCTATTACTTTGAAATTAGTATTTTCAAGTCAACTATATTTTATCTTACTTTCTGTTCGAATTCTTTGGTAAGTTTTTCAATTTCATCTTCGTGATCTTTTTCGATAGACCTAAAATAATATGGTTAAAGCAACAATGAGAAAAAAAACATCTGTATAGTTGTCGTCTTCAGCCGGTTTAAACAAGCAACGTGCCATGTGGGATAGGCCTCGCGATAACATGTATGATCATGCGAAATCAAATGAACCCATTGTACGACCCTACAATATACTTACATGATGTGCTCACGATGTTCCTGGTGAATCTTATCAAGAAACTTCATATTTTCTTCTTTATTCTAGGAGAAAATGAGACTAAGTCAAACTAAGTCAATCTACTGCGGATTTTCATGCCTTTCGCATCGACATCGTATTCTTCGACAATCCCGTGCGTAGCTAACTTATTTCACCGATCAGAATTTCACGCCGAAGTCTCCGTATATATTTTAATAAAATGGTTGCCTACCGAGTAATTTTCTAACCTGTTTCGTAGCAAACTTATGRTTGAGTCGTTCTTCTTCTAACAGAAGAGTCAATTCGTCAACTTGTTTTACTAACTGACTTATTCTGGTATCCCTAGAGGTAAATAGCACGATCAATCAATAATAATCTCAATGTCTTCCACGCAAAATCACTGCAGTGAACGTCAGCACTCGAAACACTGGAAGKTTAGAAATGCAGACAAACAAAAGTGCTTTTCTAGATTGGATACGCGTGTAAGTTAGGCTACTCCAATACTAACCTTTCATCTGGCCTCTTGGACCTAAAATAAAAAACATAAAAAATTGATAATATGTGAAATTTTTCCTTTTTATCTGTTTTTGAATGAGAAGAAAGCATAACAAGGAGGTTTCTGACAAGTGGTTATGTCATTATTCATCGTTACAAAACTTTTGCCCTTGCACCAATCTTTTTTGGCACCTAACTTGTCTTGCATAGTTATCTGTGTTACAATCTCAAAAGCCCCTGAACAATGCCTTATTTCACTATTTCACAGCAGCATGCTTACATGGGAGTCAGCATAGCTCAAAACATTATGGATGTCTAGTAAATCTTCTCTCTCTGAGAAATTTGAACTCCAGGTGACCATAACCCTTAGCATTAAAGGACAATAGAATGTTTCGATAACATCATAGTCACATTGACCAATTAAAATGACATTGATTGACAGGCATTGAGTGTTTATGATATTCAGCGATTAAATCACTTGTAATGTACCTTTTCCGACGTTGATTTTCTTCCTGTAATTAAGAACATGCATTAGTCCCATCATTAATTCAAATATATAGCTCTCTACATCTGGAGGCTATAGAATCTTGTAGCATACTTGAAAACCCAGTGTTAAYTAATTATCTGTAATTCGTGACCAGTCAAGAACAGAAGTATCCCTGGKTTCCCAAGGACAATCACTTAGTTAAAAGAATGCAAGTTGAGCATACCTTCTGTTCATTGAAGAAATCGTCAGTGTTTATTGTAACATTAATTTTCTCTCTTGATCTTGACAGCAAGTAACCAGGTGAAAGAACAATTGAGGACTCCTTACAAAACATAAAATATTATTATTATTTAATGCAAAATTGCAAAAATATTCAGCACCAAACTGTCCAGTCTTGGCATTTACCACAGGTAGCCCATCCATCATACGGTCTTACCTCAGGTGGAGGGTCATCTAAAGATTTTCTGCATTTTGCACTAAAAACTTGACCAAACCTAGCACATCTGAAAATGAAAACATCATTTSATAAATTTTACATAAACTAACTAAAAACTTACTTCGAATGTTTCTGCCAAATCTTGATCAGAGGCATTTTTCAAAGTCTGAGATTATGGGGGGAGCAGAATGCCTGGCAAGAAATCCCCGGGTGGGGGGGGATTTCCCCCTATATTCGCTATATGGGGACGTGCCGCCAACCAGGGTATTGTTTTCAGTGATTTTACTCTGGAACTGGTTATCGTTTTTAGAGATTTTACTCTGCAACAGGGTATCGATTTCAACAAATTTTCTCTGGAACAGGGTCAGGGTTGAATTCCGGAATTATTGATGCTGGATAAAAATTCATKGGGTAAAAATTCGGTCTACAYGCAAGCTAGTGCAGGATTTTACTCTGGAACAGGGTATCGTTTTCAGCGATTTACTCTGGAACAGGGTATTTTCAGTGATTTCACTCTGGAACAGGGTCAGGGTTTTGAGGCCCCAGCGGCACACCCCCACCCAAGTTTCAGGGGAGTACCCACCCCGGGGAAGAACTCCCAGTTATCTTAAAATGCCACGACTTTATAGAGGAGCAACAATTTTTTTTCCAGAATTGGTTAGCAAAGTGTTGTGGAACTAATCATTTCATACCTTGCTGATTTGTTATCTCTAAAACTAACATTAAGTCGGCTTGGAGTAGATCTGTAACAAAAAAGTTGAATGCGGATTTTATGATAAGATCCATAATGATGCACACTTATTTGGATCTAATAGGTAAGATGAATGTCATAAATGACCATTTGAGTTTGATAAAACTACAATAAGGTTTTTAGGCAACTGTTATGATAATTTTAATTTTTGCTCATTTCTCCAATTATTGTACCTGAGACGAAATAATGAATTTTGCTTTAGCTGAAACATTAAATGAGCATGCACTTGCCTCAWCGTAYAAYGTTAATGGCTTATTATATCAACAAAAGATCCACCTGCTAGWTGTCAAAGATAAACTAAAAGCACTTCAAAAATCTAACTAAGCTTATCATATTTCTTTACATCTTATCATTTCATCATGACTAATAAATAAGTGTAAATCACGAATGTAGCATAATTTGTACTCACTTAGGTCTCAGTTGTGTCTTTCTATTAGTGTCTGTTTGTCGAAATTTCGCGTGCGAAGTTTGCGCTCGAAGKTCTTCTGCTACCTCGCCGATAATCCAGGCCGGCGTCTTGTAAGGAGGACGGGAGCCAGTGACACAAATGCTCTCCAAAGCCGTATCACTCATAGCTTATTTTAAGTTATAAAAACTTACAAATTCAACAGAATAACGTTTCCATTCAGTCACGGAGGAAGGATGTTTTAGGATTCGACTTCGAATCAAATATGTCAGAAAAGTAAACAAACTCGTTGCTCATTTAGCAGTGATCGCACGTCTGATTCCTTCAACATMATCAATTTAGATGATACTCAGATGGCATGGATGATACAATAAACATAAATTGCCTTCCTTCCCTAGTTTACGCATTTACTAGTAAGTTTTATCAGCTCGAGCAAGCTAATTATTTACATATTGATCAGCGGTACGCGTTTCTATGGAGACCATATCATTGATGATACGGACTCAAATCGTGATTGACATCCGGTGATCTTTGAAGTACAGCGCTACGCATACCGATTTATGCTTTTATCATGAAAATCACATCTAATGTTTGAGTTGATAACTCCAAAAACTTTTGGAATTTTCTGATTTGCTTCATAATTCCATTCTCAGTCTGCATGCCTTTGCTTAATACTACAAATATACATAGCATCCCTCTTAGGATCTCTAGCTCTTAGAGGTCCATTACCAGCCTTTACTTTATATTACAAGTAAATAATATAAACTGGCTGCATGCAGATTATTGATGCCTGCAATTGAATGTGTTTTTCTTCTGATAAATTTTAACTTTCTTGAGAAAATGTTTGYGTGAAAACAAAAGTGAAAACACTCGCATAGTTATCAATTCCTATTTTTGTCAATCCTATTGGTGCATTTCACAGGGGAAAGGGAATGGATTTGAAAAATCATTTTAAAGGGAGCTGTATAAAGGGGTACTACATAACTGAAACAAAGAAGTTTTAGACTGTAATTTTTATTATACAATTTAAAGGCAGCTTTGTCCTTCAGACTCTTGATGGATACAGCATCTGAAAGAATAAAGGACACCTTTTAGTTGAATTTCCAATAACTGAATTTTTATGTTCTATGTTCAGTAATGGAAGACATTGAATTATATTAAAACAGATGTGAATAGACTTTTAGTGACTGTCATGCATTTAGAAAAGCCTGGTCTTGTGCTGCATTCTACTTWAATACAACTTGTCAAAAKGAGTTTTGAACATGGTCATCTGCTWAAGTCTCCTTCAGGRTTCCCTGAGCCATCTTGAAAARTGTTCACCTTTGCATSGAAYAGGAGACAACAGTTGAGCATGCAATGAGAGAAACCTTCTTTCAAACACCCACAGAAAGTTATTCGCAGGTATCTATCATTGCAAGTTCACAAGTCATCACGCTTTGATGCAAAGGGATGGCTACCTTTCAAGATGACCAAGGGAGCCATGAAGGAGACTGTTTGAAGTCTTATGGGCACGCTGCCTCACTGTTTGCAGTACTGTTATAGGATGGGGGGAAGGGGGAGCAGAGGGCAGACCAAAACAAAATATTCCAACTCTTTTGGGAACTAGAATCTATTGCTTTGTTTTGTTCCCCAGATAGAACAACATTCCCATCAACTGCATTAGTTATATACTTGCTTTCTGAGCTCAGTTCAAGTGTAGATAATTAGCATAAATGCCTTAGAGCATTTCTAGGTTTTGTATAGTCTCATCACAGCTCAGAATTACTTTTGAATCACACTAAATAAGAATGAAACCATTGTTGTAACAAATACTATCCAGTACTTACAACTCGTACAGTAGCACCCATAGACTTTGGAGGCAGGTTATGCCTGAACTTGGCCTTCACAACTCCACTGTTTCCATGTGAACGTGTGACCTTACCCCATATGACTCGCAGTTTAGTGGCTTTCTTATCTCCCTTGGCAACAGTCTTGGTCTTGGCACGATAGACATARGCAAGCCTCTTCCCCATGTAGAATTCTGTGTCTGTTTTATTGTCAACACCTTCTATCTTGATAAGTGATGTGGAAGGGTGCTGGTTCCTAAGACCCCTCTTATAACCCARGACAATTCCTTTGGTGTAGAGACTGAAATTATATGTCACTAATTATTGACAAGATTTATGTAGACTGACTACATTGGAATCAGGTGTGATTTGTACCAAATCGAGAACTCCCAACAAACACTTTAGCCCCAATAGCTAACATTATTTACAGCACTTCTAAATTCATAGCTTGGCATAATCTATTTCAGATTTTGAAATACAAAGACCTTTAAAAYTATCACTCACCGAATGGGCTGCGACATTTTGTCGTGTCTTCCTTTTAACCTGACCAAAATATAAGTGAAAATACAAATTACACACTCCGCTATACTATAAGCACAGACCTTGTCGCCATCTTGGATAACTTTATACAAGAAAAATAAAACAAAGAGGAGTAAAATAGAAAAAATGACAAGTTCAATGGATGAARATATATCTATTTTTATTGTATACATAATATAGTTGAGAATAAACCAAAAACGACGAAGGATGGAGTTAGATTCTGGGCACCATTTACCTWCTCTTTGGCTGAAGGGATTCACGAACGAAAGAGGACRRMTGAGCCTTCGCTCAGACAATTMGYCAGTCAGCGGCRTCGGTACCACTCTCCCGCTCRGTCAAGATTCCTCTAGCAACTGACTTGACAACAAATAAATCATGTCAGCCGTGCAGTTAGGAAAGTAATATTATAAGCTAGATATTGATGTTTTAGCTCATTTTAAAATGGATCCTAATCGTAGAGTTCTTTCTTCAAAGTCTCCAGCCACTAAATATGAAGTTMTTTTGTTAGAAGATGCCTCAAACACGTCGAAAGACAAGCCTTCTGCTGATAGGATGGCCGTTTGCTTTGGTGTATTGGATGAAGTTATTCCGCAGCTTGGAGTTTATCGTAAGATAATAAGCATGCTAAGGGAGGAGCTTTACTCAGGTGTATACAGCTTAGACTACACMACRATCCCACCGAARAAAAGATCACATAAARCACCTGTAGTTCAACGAGTACCATTCTTTGTACTTGTGGAGAGGCTGCATGATCAGAGAGATAGAACAGCYGAAGGCCTACAAAACGAAATAACACAGCTCAACAAGGACTTATCGGCTAAAGAGAMCCTYCTGAAAGAAAGGAGCTCCTATGTKGARGAACTTAAACAAAAAGTAAGGTCCCTAGAAGATCAAAACTTTCAACTGACAATGGATTTGGAGAAYTGCAACTTGGAAAAAATGAAGTTGTCTGCAAACTTGGATGAGGAAAAGAGATCYCATGAAACTAGCAAAGAAAGATACGAAAAGAGACTTCTAAACGTCAGAGAACARCTCAATAARAGTGARGATACAGTWRCACARTTGAAAARGTACAAGGAAGGCTATGATGATTTGCAAGACGCATTCAACAATACCAATGTTTTTACTAAGAGACCACACAAACCAGCACCTCTGACAAAGAAAGCAAGAGTTATACAAGAGATTGCAGCTGCAAAACTACTAGAAGAACAATTRCTTACAATGCAGAATGTCATCATAGAGGAATAYGACCTTTTTGTTGAAGAGAATCAACCAGTAGCAGACAAAACTGATGAAWGTGACAAAGGCCAAAGYTATTCAGATAGGTGGGGAGAAGAAAGTAAAGCYATGCAAAATTTCTTAAAGGAACAAGCAGAAGTGGAGAAAAGATTCCAAGCAAACATAGCTGATATAGAAAATGAATTACAACTGATAGAAATTCAGAAATCTACCCTTGAAGATAAGTTAGAATCCATTATTAAGGAAGAGAATATTGAATCTGAGGATACCTCCCAAGGTGCATCTGGAAGAAAAGAAGGCACTACTCGAACCTTACCACCCAGAATCACCCCTGTTGACGAAGAGATTGATTTTGTGAAGATAATGGGAACCCCAGGACACGCAGACCCCTTTATACCACATGAACGTGTAATGAGTAAATATGCCGCAATGTTGTACTACTCTTGCAACCATGGGAAAAACTTTCATGAGTTTAAGGATGCTAAGTATTGTGCAAGCTGCGGTGAGACGACTTTGCTGTGTCCCCATAAAATAATAGAGGAAAAACTTGTTTCACTGCCACACAATTGCACCCACATCAAGGTCACCAGGCCTGTAGTACGTATTCTCAAAGAAGAAGAGCTTCAGTCTGCTCCTGGAAGTCCTGATATTTCACGAGTACCTTCAGCTGGTGCTGAAACTCCTTCGTATGGAGATGAGCATGTTGTGAAAATGCAGCAGCATCTWACAACATCGTACAAAAGACTGTGGGATGATTTAGCTTCAAGGTCATCTATAACTCGTAGAATACCAAGACCACTAATAAAAGAGAGAGTTTTATCCATTATTTATCAGTTTTATGCCACTTTGCTCTGGCAAGAYGACTTTGCCATGGAAGATGAACAAGTAGTGTCAGTCCTTGATATCTTGCAYACATTTTTCATGGACAGGTACATCATTTCTGATGTTGCCCACCTGGCAATGCATGACTTTCTTGCAGGAGTTGTCAAATATGCCCAGGAAAACCAAACCATTCAGGTGTTTGCACAAGCTATGTGTGGTACCCTTGATCCTGTGGTGATTAGGTACATTCTTCTCATGAATGACTTCATAGACTTTGTTAAATGGGAGACTGTTGCAGACATAAGGCCTTTTGCTCAAACCGTGTACCCATTTATGCACGAAGAAGATCTTGAGCAGTTCACRATGGGRTATACATCACACAGTGAAAATAAGATCTCAAAGGAACTAGTCTCTGAGTATCTTCTTTACATTATCTTGAAGTACAGAGAGCCAAGCTTCCAAGATACTGAAGTAAAGCTTCTTCAGCATCCCGGAAATCGGCCAGGCTTGATGACTGACATYGAATTTACTGAGGCAATTGACAACATYTGTCCACTTGCTTCAGAAAGGCTTCGAAGGCGTTTGTTTGCAGAATCTCTAGAGCACATGCAGGATTCTGATGATTGTGTTAATGTAACAAGGCTTTCTCAGATCACTGGTTATCTTGCATTGGTYCAAATCTCTTCTGTTGTKAAGGATTACATTAGGCAGAAAGTAGAAGAAGCGAGGGACAAGCAGGATGAAGTACAAAGTGACTTCAAGGAGTCCATTGGAACCATCAAAAAGCATCTCTTGGAGGAAGAAGCAAAAAGCAAAGCCAACATATCAGTGAATATTCCCACTATGGGAAAGTTGAGRACTGTTGCTGCACAGAATTCCAAAAGAATCACTGCAAGACAATTAGAGAGAGTTGACAACTTYAAGTATTAGATATTAATTACTACTACCAAGCTTGTGAGGAAGCAATTCAAATTAAAAATACTTTATATGACCCACTTGGACCCACTTGGTAGATTTGTCTTTTTTGGTTTGCATGCAATAAATTTGCATTTGAGCCTMAAAGGAGAAACTTTTCCAAGTTATATTTTATGCTACATTGTATATTTTTGATGAATGTAAATAAAACATTTCTAGGTTTTTCAWTGAAATGTAGTCAAAATATACTTTCCAAAAATGCATTTAAATTACTTAAAGACTTAACATAGCTAACTGTAATAGCCGACTTGCGAATTACTCATCAATAGTCACATACAAAGGAATCAAGACGAGGCGCCGTGCTAAAGACAATAGATTTTCACAAAAAAGCACGGCGCCTCGTCTTGATTCCTTTGTATGTGACTATTGATGCGTAATTCGCAAGTCGGCTATTACATAGTGGCTAACAACATAGAGTTAAGTTATTAATATGTGAAATAAAATTTGGCTATCAAAGTTGGACAGTCAAAATGTTTTAGACACAGATAGAAAAATGCAATAGAGTATACTAGGTGTATTAGTATTAGTGTAGCATCTATTTCACTGTTATTTTACCCACATCYACTACTAGTAAAGGTATGAATAAAACATTTGGATTGGAAACATTATAGTTTTATATAAACCAATAAAATATACAGTAATGTTGACCCAAGTTCACAACTGAACTATATCTATTGTACAAAATGTGTGTTTGGCAAAAACAAAGTGAAGAGTTGAAGATGACACATTGTAGATTAACTCTATCTCATTGACCATAACCTTGTTCTACAGTAAAAAGCCTATTTTCAAGGAGKGGGGAGGACATATCAAGTACTGATCAAAATCCTATGGATGGCCGACTCTTTGAGCAATAATACTGTAAATATAATATGATATATATATAATACAGTCTTCTTGCTCTCACTGCCTAAACAGCCCTACTTAAAAGAATATTATGCAACTAGACATCGTAGTCATCATCATCATCAAGTTTTCTCTTTTGTGGTGTTATTAAAGGTTGTTGAGCACTGGCCACTGTCTCATCCATGCTTGGTAAAGCAGATACTGTCATGATGGATGCAGGATTACCACTTTGTTTTACTGTTTGAACTTTGGTAGTACCARCTGTGGGGTTGGCAGCAGTTGCTGGCCTTTGAACAACTACCGTTTTTACCTTTGAAGAAGAAACGAAATAAAAATAGCATTTAAAAAAATTAGTCTTGATTTTGAGACAGTTCCAAAAGTAATCAATAAAAGATCATACTAAAAATTGAACACTGCAGAAAAGTAAGAAACATATCAGTCTATTATCTGCACATTTTTCTTCCTTGTGTTTTTTTTTTCACAGTTGCAGTTAAGGACATAAAAAAACTAAACATTCATGGTATTTTTTAGGGCAAAATGTAGGATTTGGTATAAATTCAATAGAATGAATTGAATAGATAAAGAAATATAAATGCTTACCTGTGATGTAGCAGATGGTGCAGAGGATGTTACATGCCCAGTGGTTACAGAATGAATGGTTCCTGGTTCTTTCTTGATTTGTGGAACTTGGTTGGACAATACTGGTTTATTTACTGTTGTTATCAGTGGATGTGGTACTGAGGTYGACGTTGGAGTTACTATAGGAACTGAGGTAGACGGWGTTCTAACTATATGTGCAACAGTTACTGGTTTAACAAGAGTACTTCCTACAGAAGATGATATTGAATTGGTTCTGCCAATAATAGGTGAGGGACGAATTGTTGGCTGAAAATCACAAAAAAACACTAGTCACAACTTTGAAGAACARTAACTCGGCTGTATTTTCASAGATCAAACCTGTTTTTGGGCTCTAACTTTATAGTTTTTGCCTGTTAAGCAATATCTATCAGGYGGAAGTCTTAAGCCACTCTTTGGTTGGATTTGTGGTAAAGGAACTCTGTTTTTCTGTCTTGCAATTTCTATAAGAAACTGATAAACAAAACAACTCAATTATTGTTAAAAATTTATGAGATTAATAAATGATGATCAATGCTCATGAAATGTCAAAACTACTTACATCTCTGGGGGGAGGGCTGGTGTAAGAGTGATCAAGGCGAGATTGTATAGCCAGTTGGACATCATCRGTATCAATTTCCTTCTTGCCAGCATGGGTTGAGTAGACTTTGGCATCATCTAAGACGGTTGTAATGTAGCCTATAGATAGAGAGAGTCTTCACTTAGTAAAATATAGATTCAACRGTAAGTCAGATGACTTTATTAGCATCTGGAATACAGTAAGTTAAGTTTGGCTTGATCTTAAATTCACAACTTTGAACTTACGATATGTGAATTCCAACATYTGATTGACAACTCTTGGTTCATAATCACTAATCCCCATTTCTCTCAGAATCGACGACATCACCAAAGCATCTTTCGGAGTGCTCCTAGCCGCCGGTTTATTGYTGTCATTTGTGGCTGCTGCTGCTCCATTCGATTGACTAGCCGCCATCTTGAACATTCACTCAATAATCACACAGGAAACCCATTTAGAGCTCTGAAAATAACTTTTAAACATTAAAAATAACAACAGTTTATTGGCTATTTATATGAAAACCTTTGCAGAAACTCCATTAATTAGAACCAAATTGCAATAACGCAATCAATTTTGAAGTCACTCAAGAAAGAAAGAAAAAGTATTGAACTTGGGCTTCCTGTGATAAGTAATCCACAATRCAATGCAAGCGTATTATGTTTCAAAATGGCGGCTCGATCGAATGAAAGAACGACAAAAGATATTGTGAACACAATATTGGATGATTACGAAAAGCTGACTCGGTATGAAGTGGTGTATAGTTTTTTTCACTTAACGTTTGATATCATGTCTTTATGCGGTTATGAAAAGACACAAAACCTAAGTATTTGAAAACGAAATTGTATTCAGTCCTGTTGTCGTTGTTACAGACAACTGTTCGAAAGTCTCTCTGCAACTTCGCTGTATCGTGGACCTACCAAGAATGATGCGTCTTCCGTAGATGCAGCCAAGGTAATGTAACGTCTATTTTCTTGTTTGTTAATCTTTGAACTGCAACACGTTCGTACTATAACACGAAGATAACATTACTGTCATTGTTGTTTTTAACTAGTTCGTCGAACAGTTAACTGAAAAGGATAAAGAACTCCAAGCAGCAATAAGAGTTGGTGTGTTTTAGTCATAAGTGCATAACATATTGACAACTGAATATCCAATTGTCTATTTCCCATTCACTCATTCATCCCTTCATCCATCCATCTATTTATATTTTCACAGCTAAAGAGCAAATGGAATGCCAGAAATTAATACAAGCTGCTAAAGATAATGTATCCAAAAAAGATCAAGAAATATTAAAACTTGAAAATAGCTTAAAAGAAGCAGAACAAATTTTGGTAAGAAAGTTCTGGTTGATWGTCTCTTCCAGTTTCCTRCCCCATTTTGAAAGGCAACCCTTCCCTTTCAATCAAATRRCAAGCATRCATGATAAAAATCCTCTTTCACATCTGCAGRCATTGTTCAAATTTTAATTCATTTATACATTATATCAGTCACAAGCATTATTTCAAGCAAAGAAAAAGTTATCAGCAATTGAACAAGCGAACAAAGGTAACTTTTACTTCACTTACATTAATGATTACACTTTGTGACATTTTAATCATAACCTCAATGAACCTTGACACAGTCTGCAGTATACAAACATACTAGAAAGACAGTGTGCTCTCTATAGGTGAGCACTCTAAGGAGTTAATTCCCTGAAACTATGTGCTGGGCATTTAACTGATCTTTCAGAGCCTTTCTCTTCCGATACACCATTCAACACTCTTAGTGGAAAACAAGTAGCCTTTTCAAATGCTGAATCTTACATCATTATATGTATCAATGCTATAAGGATGATATCAATCGAAGCGCATACAAGATTTCGTACATGAAGTAGTCTATACTCATGATTATAAAAGTGTAGTTTCGTTTCAGGATCAGTGTCTTCTGAAGAGCTCATCAAATATGCTCACAAGATAAGCAGTAGCAATGCTGTGGAAGCTCCAACAACTTGGATGCCAGGTATATAATAGTATAGTCTCTTTTACTTCATTGTCTCTTTGAATGTTGGGATTCCTGTGCTTTCAACAGGAAGCCCAATAGAACGCCACCCTCACTTTTTCTCCCTTTTTACAACTAGGAGACCCAAGACGGCCATACCCTTTGGATGTTGAGATGAGGTCGGGAATTCTGGGTTCAAGGGTTTGTGATGGGACAAATGCAGGGGAAAGTTTTCCTTCTGGACAAGAAAATACATTGTCATCAACTGTTGCTATGTCTACTGGTAATAATAATAAATATKCAATATGGAAAAATGGAAATAGTATCCGATGTATCTATCTTCATTGAATTTGTATATTATGAATGCATTTTACACCTGTCAATCCTTATCTAGAGACCCTTTTGTCAATCCCTATCTAGGGACCCTTTTGTCTTCTTCTTGTTTAATAACTTAGCAAATGAATAACCATTGCTATTCTTACTATTCATCAGATAGTATAGCTAATGGTCAGTCAACAGTACCACTGTCATGGCAATCACATCTCCATGGATTACCAAGTACAGCTGAGGTGAATATTTTCTAAATCYGAATTGAAATAGACCATTTGTTATCCTTCATAATAGCAAAGGGAGTAAAATAGTCTATGTAAAGTTTCATGTTCGATGCAATGAATAAGGTAAAGATGCTAAAGTGTATGTTTACTTAGAAGCTCTGTAAAATTCCAGCGCATTCCAATGGAGATCCGCTGAATTTTTTTACAGTCTCTAAGTGAAGCATATCCACGCAGCCATTTTGAATAAAGCACATATTGCATCTCAAAAGTTTCCTCATGTAATATCATGAATTTGATATTTTAGTTCAATTGTCTTTATTTGACTGCAACAAGAAGTAATAMACTATTGTGCTTTTTTGTGTTCTAGCAACAAGACTTAGGCAACAATGTTCTTGGTCCATCCAATGGCCGACAAGAACAAATAACTACAGTAGAAGAAGTAGAGTTCATGTCATCATCTTCTTCGTCTTCATCTAGTGAAAGCCCATAGACTTGTAATAATTCTACTTTTGTAAATAAAATTGTTGTTTATTTATCTATTCTTATTTGTTGACTTTTATTGAATAATGACAATTTTTCTGGAAGGAAATTCCAAAATGATTTGTGTATATGCCTCCAAAACCATGACTGAATAAATCAGTATAGTGAACTTAGAACTTCGTAACATACCTGCCTGTAATTAGTTAAACATCACGAAAGTACAAGCTGATAGTGCTAAAAATACGACATAGACTTCATTGACTAAACAATAAGATACATGCAGTGGACTGCATTGTTACACGCAACGTAGTTAAAGCGGCTAAACTGAGAAAAACGCGCCACGACATGTATCCTAAAATATCTTTAGAATATTTTTCTCTATAACAAAAAGATATAAATATCCAATTTATACATTTTAATTAAAATTTCCAAAGTACCTACCAGGCGAAACCGGCTTTTTCTGATCTCTTTGTGTATATAAATCGATGAATTTTCTAGCTTCTTAGATTTTTTGCATCTTGGCCCAGTGGCGCGACGACGCTCTTTAATATAGTTTTGTCTAACATTGTGAGACCATTTTTTCGGCGGATTTTTGAAGTTTGAAGCGCATAGTGCATTGAGCCACTAGCTCTAAAATTTTCTTTTCGACCAACCCTTAGCTGTGACATTGCCTCTTAAAACATCGTAAATAGTTTTGTACGGCATACATATATCGTAACACTTTTCGTTAAAAAAGTACAAAAATTAGCAGCTTGGAAATAGCGCGCGTAACTCATGCCTTTGGCGCGTGCGCTCAACGGGTTGGTCCTTCTCGCAATTTTTGTAATGCTTTAGCGTTAGATAAATGACTATGTTTTGAATAGAATTTAACAAAATATTTCAGAAAATAAAAAGATATGTATATTCCGTGATTTAATTCAAGCTTTTTGTATACACTCAATATATAAAAATTCCGCGCCTACTTAATGCCTGACCAGCAATTACAAATACGCTTTTAGAAAGCAATTTTATGAGACAATTTATAGTTCGCCAGCTATACGCTATACTGGCGTTTAACGGCATCATGCGGGCCGGTTGGGCCTTGAGGGCAGTCAGTATTCTAGATAAGCAATACAGCCATTAAAAAATCGATATTACCGAAGTATGTTTGGCTCTTTTCTTTGCTGTAGTCTTCATAATTCAATACAAGTACCACTGAAAAATCTCAATGATCCTACTCGGCGTTCACAGATTTTCGTGATAATTTATGTRAATATTACAATATTTTTATTCAGGCGCCAATACAACTAAAGCACGCTATACGAGTTGAATATAAATATTTCTGTTTTTTGTTCGTTTTGTATTTCTATGTATAAAGAAAGGTAAGCTAAAAAAAACAGCTCAAATTATTTCTATCTTGGGCGGACGAGTCCATTTATGCCATGACATAATTATGTTTTAAAAGCTGCAAAAGCGGTCAATGAATCTTGGCCACCTATCGCGCTTTATGGTCTGGTATTTCGAAATATATAGTCTCAACTCTACTAAGTCATACGTAAGCAGAAATAAAGCAGTTGGCTGAACTGTCAAAATTAATGGTATACTTTTATCGAAATGTTGACATCAGACATACTCACATTGAAACTTTTAATATGAATTTACATTAGTTTTTCAACTTGACTCAAYCCGTCCTTGAACAAAGTGCTTTTTCACTTGAAATGTGATCTAGAAATGGCTACCTGCATGTTTCTGATGCCATGCAAACACGTGCTACAGCCATGGTCACAATTCACCGCGCACTTTTCTCATRCAATATMATCAGGAAATTACCTTTCTTTCCATAAGAAAACTCACTGATCCATTTGCGCGGGAGTACAGTTATAAATAGCTTTTTATAAAATGGAGGAACTTAAGCTAACCTGAAAAATGTTAATTCACTGAATACCGAGTCCACGTGCAACGAGTGTGTGGGCTGAAATTAAAAGTCGCCAAAGCTTGCTTGAATTTATGACGAGTAAGCAATAAAACCCCCTAATCGATTGGACTCCCACGCTAACCCACGCACCATCCCAAATGCAAGAATACCATTGGTCTGTACTGGGCTTCACTTTAAACATGACAGATCTATCAGTCGCTCAGCAAAAGTGATGAAAAGAAGGGTTTTAAGACTTTGTTTGGGAAATCCTCAACGAACAGATAGTGAATGAAGGTCTGCTATGGCACAAGGTAAGGTTTTCTAGTACGAGTTTCGGAAAAAATTAGAACAYATCGGGTTATAAAAAGGTACGGGAAAAAACCCTGAGATTTTCAAATCATTCCTTGAAGTTTCAAGTTATATACAAAATGCTATTTTACCATAAATGTGAAAGAATATCATGAGTATAAACTCTGACACAAACTAAACACTTCATGAACGATACTTAACTACGAAATTAAAAAATGATAAATAGGAGACGTAGGTTTACAGTAAAAAAGAAAAGAAATGAAAGCCAAAGTAAAATTACGTGATACCATCATACACTTGTTTTTGAGAAGCATCACTTGTTTTATTCAAATTTATGTTGATAAAATTGTCTAAATATCTCAGTAAAAAAAACTCTCTAATTTAACTTCTTGACTATTGAGTTTTAATAAGCTTTTTAAAGGCTTATTTGTTTCTTTATGCGATAATGATTCAAATTGCTGCCAACTAGAAAAGACATGAAAGATTCTTGTACGCCGTAGCTGTCTGAGTCATCGTATTCATGATGACTTCATTCAAATTGTGGTCGCTTAACTCATCTTTAATGATTTAAGACAAAGTACCAATTTGTTGGCGACATATTTTGGGAACGATACGCTGAAAAACCGAGTTACTTTGAGTCAGACCATCAGCCAAAAAACAGTGAATAAAATGTAGGTTCTCCGCGTGTATGTAATAGAGCATATTAGCTACAAATCTAATATATTAGTATATATACTATTCATTCGTACAAAACAGTTAATTTTATTTAACAAATGACTTCTTTTAAATTGATACAGATGATTATTATGAAATTTGTTGTATCATGATGTATGAGTCATTTTAGCTCAGTTGCCAATATCTGATGCTCGCAGATGCTGTATGTAGCTTCATGGGACGGTCGCGAGGCTCATTGTCTCTGATTCATTTTGAAAGCTATCAAAATAAAATTGGAGAATGAACTTAAATGCCGCATGAACTCTAGCTTTCTAAATACCAATTTTCACTAGCGACGCATGCAAACGTTGAAGGAGATGTTAGTCTCTGACTTATTTTGGTGTGAAAGTCAACTACGTTAACGGGGATAAAAGCGCGGGGAAGGAAACAGAACTCGACTTCTCATTCATGTGTCTTATCATCACTTTCGCTTCTTAGTTGTGTGGAAATCGATTAAACCAAGAATGAATGAAATAACCAGAAGTCGTCTAGWATTGTTTAGTGTTTAATTTTCACACTATGAGTGAGCGGCTTCTAGTCGTTCATGTCGGTATATTTTGCGCGTGAAAATCGGAGTAAAGTAAGTACCGATGCCACATTGTCTTTTTTCATTAATTGTCCATGTACCATATTTAAATAAAGAAATTTATCGATATGCAAAGAATCTATCTATTTGTGAGGGTCGGTACATAATATCTAGAGCTAGTAGAAATCATTCAAAGCTTTATATGTACCAAATTTACTAGTGAAACGAGTTGTGATAGTTTCTCTTATAATTCCAGCTTTATCTATCTAGAGAGAAAAGAGCTTGCGCAAATATACAATTGCAAGAAGAGCTACAAACGTTGAAATGAATGTGATTCATCATTGCCTTATAAGTTGCCTTTGCTCTACGCACGCTTTCGTATAGCGTTTTAAACTGTTTTTCACTTACTTGAAAACAAATAAACGAACAGTGCCAAMCTGACTCGTAAGTTGAGATGACGAATTACAAAGCTATAAAATGGAAAATAATCCGTACTAAAATATTAAACAAATTACATATTTGATTTATAGACTAAAATTCATCTCATTTGATACAATTGTATTTATAAGTTTTAAATAGATGACTTTGATCTGTTGAGTCAGTGCACATTGATTCGTTGATCCGCGCATATATTCAGAGTGCTTCAGTTCTGTTTCGTGTCCACCGATAAAGCACGAAATGATCGAAACGCGACGAAAACCCATATGGTGAAGGCCTTTGTCAGACAATTTAATATGAATTACAATAATYACAATTTTAAATGTGTTTAAGATTGACTATGAACATTAAGAGAGCTCATGATGAAGAYATCTGAGGAAAAAGACATCTCGATCTACGCGCACTTCATCTCGGCGCACCATTCATTTTTGTCTGTAATGCAAYAGTTTATAGGAACCATCCAACAATTCCCTTATATTGAATCAAAATAAAATCGTGTAAAAAATACTGATCCCGATATATTATACATGGGGCATTTAAACGAAAGCTAGAGTATATAATAAATACAATCACACAGCACAGTCATATCGAACATAGACAAGAGTATTTAAAAGAATGAGAGAAATAAAACAATGAAAGCACGGTGTTTTTTTACAGCAAGAAATCTTGATTCAATGYTCTGAGTATGTCATGTTACCAGCCAAATTTAAMTATAAATTTGAACACGCACAATATTAAATGTTATTCATTTCTGTTTCATAGAGACTGCTAGGCTATTCCTTCGTTAGCCTGAGGAGCAAGAAAAAATTAAGATGGTGGGTTTGATTGATAAACTCGGAAGCGGAAGCAAATGAATGGATGAATATATGAACGATTTACGTAAATGCGAAACGAATGGATAAAAGCAATGAAAAAAACAAATAATAGATTAATAATGAACAAAGCAAYAGGCAGATAGATGGATAACGACCTTATCGCACTATGACGGCAGCATGTCTAAATTYGGACTAAATCTTCGTTCTCTCAAAAAGCTGAGCTTCAAATAGTCTACTTTCCATAGAATGTATCAGTGATTTCCTCTCTTTACTGAGTAGCCAGAGTGCTTAAGTTTTCAATTGTATTAAGTTTTTTTGTTCACTAAATGTTGTTTGACCGCGTTTTTTTGCCTTCTATACCCTCTAGAACCCGCGTCATCCTTTGTTTTAGAATATAATATATAGATCACGTTGTTATAAATAAATAATTCGGCAATTAGTAAATTGATGACTCATAACTTTATATATTCTTCTGGTGTTACAGGTAATCTCACAGGTTTTTATCAAGCATGGAGTGAGAAACGACCATCCAGAGTCCGGTGAGGGAGTACAATAGTCACTTTAAGAGTATATTGTACGACTCTCATCGTAGTCTGTTTGGTTGAATAATGGTCAACACAATTCTTCTGATGGGACACAGTGCATGGTRCATCGGTATATGCGCCTTCCCTTCCTCCTTAGAAAGGAAAAACTTTTAAAGGAGCCTCGTTGCCTGTTKYTACCAGTAGATCACGCAAGCGACATCAYGCTTGCATGGCTCGATTATAGAGAAAGTTTGGTTAGTCGAAATGACAATAGAGTGCGAAATTCTCGTATTGACTCGACAGTTTCTTGACTTAAAAGGATATACGAGCATAAGTTTCRCACATGAACKTAAAAACTTAAAATAAGTTAGCTTTTGAAAACTATCTATGGCCACAACCCTCATTTACCACTATCCTCTTTTCGCCAATCACATGTTACTTCGCCTATCGAAATCCATTAATAAGCTATAGCCAGATGAAACTTATGTCCGGATATCATAAACGCATCAGTGGTGGACCCAGGATTTTCTTCAGGGAGAGGGTGCCGGTCACTCAGGAGGGGGTGCATTCTACCTACAAATGCCGCGTGCCTCAGTAATTATCTATTAAATATTGAACGATACAAAGTGTCCGGGGAGTATATGCCTGGCCCCTGGATCCACCCCTGGACATAAACCTAGAACAGAAACACTGTATAACTAAGTTATTTACAGAGTTAAATGTAAATATACACAGCAAAGACCAATAAAGAACCATTAACAACACAGCTAGCGTGTCTTCTTTAGTCGAGGAAAACGCGTATGTAGTGCAACTCATCACTTGGGCGAGACTTAGTCCAGTCCCGGCCTCCCCTCTCGGAGCGGGTCGAAAGGGAGGCCGGGACTGGATTAGGGCGTGACTAGAAGGCCGTGGTTAGTAAGTAATAAAGCAAAGACAATACACAGTTTTCTGGTAAATGGGAAAGTGTATTCGATGATTCTAGATAGGATAAACAATTAATTCCGATTGTGCGGTTCTTTGAAGTTGTCCATCACTGTTAACAGTTTAATACGATAGAAAACGATATATGGAAAACAAACTTGATTGTGGTTTAAAAATGCTTCCAAACAWYCACCTYATTGGCTAATCAAGGTGACGCGTAAAAACCAACCCATTAGTAACCAGGCATTCCTAACCTGGGAGTGCCGGCCTACACAGGGAACCCATTCCTATTGCTCCATCATGTATTCAGTTTTAGATTARTGGGGTTTCGACGAGTATTAAAGTTTCTCTTTGGACGKAATCCAAATGACTGGACCAGATTGTTGACGAATCACATCTTTCGATCGAGTATAAATTTCGTCGTAAGTGTCGCCTTGTACTAGAGCTGAAAGCATAAAAATTTTACGTAAATATTACAACTAGTTTACTTTTGCTGTCAATATTGGTATAAAAGAACCTAGTAGTTTCTGTATAAAAACTAATTTTCCAGCATTTAACAATCAGTTTTTTTCTCAGTTTAATTATAACTTTTAGGTCCTTTTCTTTTCAAAAATAAAAAAATAAAAGATAAAATAAAATAAAATACACTTCCTTTTTTAAAGGAAAACATTATTCTATTTGGAACTATAGACTCACCAGTAAAATATTCCCCGAATTCCTGTTCTAATTTCATGGCTCTATCGTAGGTTTTCTGTGCTTGTTCTTCTGTTAGCCGCTTATTTAATTCTCGAATTGATTCTATGGACTTGGGCTTGATGAATATAGCGATGGGATAAAGTTGGGCCACTTGTAAACGCTTGATAGCATAACCGCTGACATCCAATATACAATGTTTACCCTGTAATACAACAGAATCTTACTTCTTGTCMAGACAAWGCCATAACATWYTGATATAACGTAATTCATTAGGAATACGCAYTTTGTCCACACGTATCCGGCTGCGTGTCCGCAAATTTTCGGACATTTTAGGAMAAGGGTCTCAACAGGCTCTATGTTAAAAATACTTGCGGATATAAAGGAGAAAAATGAGTTCACTATTTACAGCCGTGAGAGAATTCAATGAATGACAGTCTTATCTAGCGTCCGCGGCGCGAYTCGAACCATTAGATTACAAGATCAACGTCCTCACGCGACTTGAACATGCCGTGTCCTAATTACGTACGGAATACGTACCTTTTCAGCTACGACGCGCACCGATTCGACGCTCGTRCCATACAAGTTATCATTGTACTGTCCAGCTTCTATAAACATGTGATTTTGAATCGCTCGTTCCATTTCCTCGCGAGAAGCAACAAAATGGTAATCTCGTGAATCTTCYTCGTAATCTCGTCTGGGTCTGGTCGTGTCTACAATGTTAAGAGTTGTGTTACTCATTGCGATAAGTAACGCGTRAAGACGAAACTGTCACGCAATAAGCTGAGAGCCTCGTGACATTTGTAGTCTCACTAAAACTACTTACTACTAAATATTAGCATTTGATGACATGAATKATAGAACCTTTGTAAATGACGTTAAAAGAGTTTCATTTGGGGGAAAACACATAAGATTTTTGTTCTTGGGAACTAGAATTGACTTCTGAACCTTTTACGTCACTACTTGATTTTCAATGCATTATGGGATCAGTTTCTAGAGAAAACAAACGAAATCCGCCATGTTCTGTCCAAACATATCCTACAATGCATTGCGTATACGGTACATGACGTATAAGGTCTATTGTCCCCCAGGTGGAAGTGCACTCCAACGAACGTCAAGAGGACAGTTTTAGCTACGATTCATGGTTCAGCGTACGATTTCGTTTACGCTTATGATTGCGACGCTAGTCAAAATACACTTTAGAAAACTCCTTACGTGGGACACAGCTGCCAAACTTGTCCGGGAATTCAGAAATTAAGTCGTCGTTGATGCGATCTTTAAGCGGACCAAGTACAATCACCGGTCTTGTGTACTTTAATTCAAATTGAACGACGGCTTCGTAGGACAGGATAGGGTCCTCAGCTCGAGCGCTTGTACTGCTTTCGCTGTCGCTGGCGTTCGACGTGTAACTTGGATCGATATCACTCGTTTCGTTTTCTGATTCTTTCTTGAAGAATGGTAGTTTCTTGGAAAATTTAAAACTTCGTTTTCGAGTACTGCCTGAACCATCATTAAAAGAACCCTGGTAGAGGAAAGAGGACGATGTAAATGAATAAATGAATGAGAAATAAAAAATGAAAGAATGAATAAATTGTGAATAAATGAAAGAATAAAATAACGAAGACAAAGAAATAAGAAAATAAATGATATCTAGACTAATAAAGAAGTGACGCAAAAATTTGTAGGAACAAAAACCAATACAAACATGGGAAATAGGCAGAAACGGTTTGCGGAAACCGATATATCTCCAACCACACTGAGTTAAGAATGTAGGTGGTTTTGATGACATTATCACTTCAAGTGCGGGGGTGGTTTCAATAGCTATATCATACCATTGTGAACAACCATCTCAACAATACAATCAATCTTGTTCAAGTGACGAAAAAAGGCTCATGGCTGCCATCGTGGGCAGCATACTTACACGTAATTTATCGTCGTTTGTTCGAGTGAATTTCACTGTTTTCATCCTTGCTCTTTCTCGTCTTTCAACTCTGAAAGAGATAAACATATGACTTGTTTTAAGCACAAAGTTTTTAAAACTATATCGAGTGATAACATCAATGACTGCATGGCACGTGGCATACTTGAAATGACACTATTATAGACATAACACTTCCATTTAGTGGAAACCGCGACCACACACTAAGATGACAAGACGAGTCCYTTCTTGACGTATCTTCACTTGGTTTTACAATGTGGACATAAAAGCCGTTTTAAATGAAATATAATGACAATATACAATAGCACAATACACACAAGGACAACAGAAAATYTATTAAACTGTCGTTAAAAAAGTCTGCCACGCGTCGGTGTTTCTTATAAACAGATGGTATACGGGTTTCTTTTCGGACGTTTTTTCTTCAGGGTTTTTAATCAAGCATTTTATAAAAACTGTTACGAAAAAGCAATTTGAAATAGTGCATACTCATGTCTACCAAAGGTTCAATACCGCCAAAAATTTGTATGGAGTTTATGATCACTAAATAGAGATTATCAGATGGTTAGCGTTATTTATACTTCGTACAACAAACCATTGACTTGMATCGAATCCTCACCTTCTTTTACTAGGGATGACACCTCGTCCTTCCTCCTCYCCTACGGCATTTAATTTTCGCGCCTGCCACCATTCGTCGTCACTAGCATTAGTAACATGCAARATATCGCCATATTGGAAGCTGAGCCCCTGACTAGGAAGACCGCTGTCCTTTGTCTTGTCGTAGTCAAATAAAGCCCTGCAAGAAATACAGTTAAGATCAGAAAAATATCACAGAATGGTGATAATTTCATATGAAAATTGCCTTGTCAACTTGTAAGAAAATAAGTTTTCACTTTTGAAAGGCAAATATGATTTCAAAAAAATAACTTTTTAGACAAACCGAGAAAAAACAAAAAAAAAAAGCTATTTAAAAAACAAACAACCGAAAAAAACCTCAACAACAACAATAAAAAAAAAAACAATAACTCTAACAGCAAAGTCTCTAATTCTTCTCAATACCACATTTAATCAGTCCCAAACCACAATAATAAAAAAACATTAATAATAATGCCAAAAGCTAGATAACATTACTTTGTAATATGTGCGCCACAGCAATCAATTCCCCCTTGTTGGGCGATATCGCAATTTCCCGGTCAATTACTTTCAAGAAAAAAATTACAATAAAATCCCTGTTTATACAGTGCGTTTTCAGTAAAGATGACGTTACAGTCGACCATAGAGTAGTCTTGTTACCAAACCGGTGACAGGAGATGGGAGGGGTCACGTCCTCTAGTGACCGCCAAGCACATTTTGATCGTGTTTCTAGTCGGGATTATCTGGTCAGGTCTATTTTTATGCATGCTATATTCAAAGACTACATGCAAATAATGCAATTTTCTTTTTCTTRTAATTTTTTTGATAAAATCGCACTGCATATGAATGAAAAAAAGACACGAAGCGCTGAGACAGTACGAGACGCTGAGACGTTGAAGTACGAACGAAGATAGTAGTTATTAAACGATTATGAATTCAGCGCTTTTACCTGACGTAWAGTTGTCGTTTTACTGACGTTACGACTCCAGCGTTACTACTGTTCATCATTTTTTCGCGAAGATGGTGAATCTTGGCTTCAAACTGGTTGTATTCTRGAAGAAAACACTTCACATTAGAACGAAACAACTAAAGCACTGATGTGTTTGCTTAGAGCGCGCAGTAAAATGTAAATCAGCTGTAGAATGTGTTGTTGGTATTGGGACCGAGCTCCCTAGTGGTTTCAAATGGAGAAGTGTTATTAGAAATGAACACCAAACAACAGCTGATAAAACAACACTTTGCTTACCCACTGAACACAATCAAAAAACTTACACAAATAAACACAACCCAATTCGTTTTGACTTCGATGTTGAACGTGAAAACATCGACAAGACACGACTCTGGTGCAAATCAAACACAATTGAAGTTACCAGTTGCGTTATTTTGCAAAGAAAAATCAACAGAGAGTAAAAAAACTCGAAATAACTGAGAACAACATTACTAACAGATGGCCTGCCTAATGGCCGTCATTTCAAATGATGTGACAGAAAACCCACAAATTCTTTAGTGCAAATTGGCTGTGGTCGCAATCTCTATGACAGCGTAATATCAAAAGTGTACCCGTATGGTGGCTACCCGTCGCTACTACGCATGACTTCTTGAAATTCAATTACCATAACATTCAACTTCACTCTTTCGCCAATAAACAGAAAACAACGACTGCCAAAACGCAACCACAACAWCTATTTACCTATTGACCGCCACGACCAAACGGTAATTTCTCAGCTTTCATCGATCGCATYGAGARAAAAAAATTGAGTTGATGTAGACTAGTGGGGGGTAAAGGCAGGCCCTCGACAGGTGAATCGATATTCAGGCCATTCATTGGCTAAAAGGGTATTCATACTATGAATACAAACATATCGAAAGTAAATTACAGAATATTATCTTTGATTACTACCTCGACTGTACAGCGAAGAATAATTATAGCGGTTATTGAAAATATAAATGGACGAGCGATTGGGAAGTATAAACAGATGTCGTGAAAATCAGACAGTCAAAATGGTATGATACTCGAGAACGAACGCTCGGTAACGCGATCATTTAAAAAAAAAGTTGATTGTCATGACACTCAATATTAGCAAACGTCACGACATTTAAAACCAATTTATGACTTCGAAACCACTGAGCTGTCACGAGCATCTTTCAATAAGTTGTGTGACCAATTGCGTGACTTACCTTCGGGTTTGTACTGTGCTGTTATGGTTACAGTGCTGCCAGCACCTTTTAGAGCAGCCGCTGCTTGTTCGTGCGTCGCAGTGGCAAGATCCGTGTCGTTCACCTAATGAATACATAAATATKAATAAGATAACTATGAATAAGATGAAACATGTGAAAATCGATGCAAATATCTTTGCGATCATTTTTTGAATAAATGAATAAATGTGGGAGAATAAATGAATGAATAAATGAACTTTACCATACGTAATGAATTACAAATGAATATAAATGTTGGTATACTTGAGTGTCATAATTAATATAAATATACTTGATAGGCCTTTTGCATACGACGTTTTGAACAGCTTAATTTGAGACCTTGAATCCATCTTTTCTCCTTAAACACTTTCAACATATTCTTTAGACTTACTGCTAGAATCTGATCCCCTCTTCGTAGTTCCCCACTAAGATCCGCTACACCACCTGCCAAGATAAATGATACAAATATACCCTCCCCTCCCTCGCCACCAACAATATTGAAACCAAGGCCACTGGGTCCTTTATTCAAGGTGATCCGTCTGACTTGCCTACAAATAGACGGTGAAGAAACATTTAATTACCTTGATTAAAATCTATTAATTACTTTATTCATTAATCAATAATATATTAATTAATCTGTTTATCAATGGAAATATAGAATACACAGACAAGCACTAAAATCAACACTGAAATTAACACTTTTTGTTTCTAGGATCGTTTAAATATTTTATTAGACAATAGCGATACTCAATGTTTATCAACAAACTCATTCTTATGTTAATGTGCCAACCATGATCAGAATGGCTTTTCACAGGTCGCTTTGTTCTAACATCCAATCATCTTCTGGTTGGCAAATGAACAACAAAGGCTTACGTCACATTGAGTATCGCAATAGTGTTTCTAACAATTATCAATACATACCTTGTGAAGTCATCTTCAGGTACAGCMGCTGCTTTTTTAGTCAAAGTATTTGTCTTTTCTACAGTACTAGGYATTTCTTTTGGGATGTGATTGGTGATATCACCATTTTCACCAGCTTTAGGAGTCGGAGGGGGAGCTGTAAATAATATTATTAGCAATTATYATTAATTATCACTAATTACAGATACTTATTAATGATTGTACTAAACCACTGTAGACAAATAAAATGCACTGAAGACGGATAATAAGACAATGCATACTACAGATAAATTCGAAGATGGCAAACAGTTCACACAAAAACTGCTCTACATCAACTARTCTCTACTCATACAACAGCACAAAAGATTTTTTCACTATGGACAAGTAGCTGTTTAMTTTTGAACAATTGTTATTAAAATTGGTGTTAYTTTCAAATCACCATATTCTCACTTTTCAAATGACGACAAGCAGCAATGTTGGTGTACAGCAAACAAGATTTCTACTGTAATATCAGCCTCCATTGCTATGCACATCTACATTAATGATATTGAATCTTTTGTTTTTATTCTCAAGTGTTTCCTGTTTATTTGATTGCAAATAAAGAAATACTACCACAACGTTTTGACCCACCCTACCCTGACCCACCCTACCCTGACCCACCCTACCCTGACCCAATGATTTTAATTGCAGCATGACTCACTTGGTTGTGGAGGTGGTGGTTGTTCAGTCATGGGTTTAGGAGTCTCTGTCTCATCCTGACTGTAATATGCAGTAATTCTACTAATAACTATTGTAACTAGTTCTTTTGTTGCTTTCAAGACTGCTACGGCGTCTTCATGTGAAACATCTTCAAGGTTGCTATCATTAACCTGTCAATCAAACCAGCGACATATCAGAGAAGGATACATGTGAGAATCAAGTAATGTATTTTTTTTAAACTGATAATCTTTAATGTTTTACATTGTTTGTTTGATCTACATTAATTATACCAATATTCACTACAAAATTTCTATAAAATTATATATAAATAAGAAGGACAATTTTTCTAAACTTAAGTTTTGAATTCTATCAAAGTTCCAAATGCACTCAACTATAACCAGTTTTGGAGTATTTTGAAAATCCACACACAACAAACATGGAAGAATAAAGGAAGAATAAGCAACTTACACTAATAATCTTATCACCAACTTGTAACCTGCCATCTTGCTGAGCTGCTCCACCGTCRATAATCTTTGTAATGTATATACCATTGTCGCCAGGGACATGTTGGTTGCCATGACCACCAGCTATACTAAAACCAAGGCCTGAAAACAATGACCATAAAGGTGTCATTCATTCGAAGCATTAAATTAATGTCCAAACATTTCCAAAATAGAAAAAGTATTTCTAAGAGCAAATCATTGTAACCAAGGAAGCAATTTCCATTGAAATTTCAYCGTGTACCTTTTGTGCCTTTAGAAAGAACAATTTCTTGCTTCTGAGGAGCTTTTCCTTTAGGAATTTTTCTCTTGATGCTCTAGATTGAAAAAAAAAATTATTCGTTAACTTACAAAATGATGATTTTTCAGGAAAAGAAAAAAAGGTCTTACCAATGAAACATGACTACCAGCAGCCTTCAGGGCATCAACAGCTTGTTGATGAGTTACATTCACAGTAGTTGTACCATTGACTGACACTATACAATCATTAACCTGTAGTCGTCCATCTTGTGCYGCAGCACCACCCTTGATAACTTTTGTTATATATATCCCAAAGTCATCATCAATATGMGGGTTATCAGTCCCYCCAGCTATACTGAACCCCAGGCCAGCTCCACCCTGGTACAATAATTGATAAAATCATACTTGATAAGACAGTTATTATGCAGAGAATTTTTGAGCTTTTATTTTGCAGTGTTTTAAATGTAGATGCTATTTCTATATTTGRTTTTGTTACCGTGTTTACATATCTTTGCTGATTCTACTTTGAAAGTACACTAAGTTATTCAAGTATGTTTTTTAGTGTCTATATTATTAATTGCAATCACAGAAAACCAATAAAAGGCATTTATAATAAAGCAGATGTGCAGATAAATTGCATGGTAACTAGTGCTGGATCAAGAAAGATCTGAGGTGTCAACAGAGACCTTTTATTTTCACTTTTTGTATTTACCTTCAGGTTTCAWTTACTAGATAATAAATTAGATAAGTTAAAAGCAACTTTTCCTTTTCTTCTCTTTACATATTTTATATTTGACAAAACAAATCAAAAGCAACTTTTTCTAAAGCATCGACCTTTGACACTAAAGAAACRGAAACCCCTTAGAAAACATTGTGGATGCACCGCACACTATAAAAAAGATGAAAATTGATGACACCGAAATGTCGCAATTACAAAAACCAAAACACTGTGTGTTTTCTCTCTTTGTCGTTTCTCATATTGTTTCTTTAAACATATTCTTAAATTGATTTTTGGGGGTAAAAAAAATATGTATTGAAATGTCAATTATATTTTACAACTAATCTGACATTTTATGAAAACTGTATCCCTAAGTGATATGATTTGGTTGTTAGCAGCCTCTTATGAGCTAATCAACTCCATGGACACCACGTATAAAGGCACTCTGCTTTTAATATGTCATAAAGAAGTAACTATTGTCAGACTCTAAAAACACATTTAGCTCATTCATTATCATGCTACCTTGTTCTTTTGTGTGTGCAAACATGATACATGCCATGAAAGTCTATAATCACGTTTTAAAGAACTGAATAAATCTAACAAGCAGTTTTATCATGCTTAGATTTTCATAACATGCAAAATKATAAATAATGCAATAATTACATAACGACATGTTATAGATAAATACATTTCTTTAAAGACGCAGCCAATATCTATATAATCCAAAAAATGACAAAAAACATGGCTCTTAGTGTGAGATTTTARCTCAAAATGTCAGTAAATAAATCATTTATTGTTAGACGTGATTTAGTCCATGCATTAGAAAGAAAGGAAGGAATACTAACAAAACCGATACATTTATCTCCACCGACAGTGATCCGCTTAGGGGAGTACAGACATTTAATAAGCTACAAATAAAGAAGGAAGTGTTGAAAATTAAAACCTTTCATTGAATACAAAGTTGGTTGGCAAGAACAGCACCATTAGTAACAYTGACATCTTAATGGCCATAAACTTCATAAGTGGCCCTTTAAGTAAGAAATCATATTGTTGAAATCAGAATTTTGCGCAGGAAATCATGAATGACAGAAATTAAATTGGATGTGAATAATAATTTACAAAGGGTTTGTCAGAAAAAGATGCATACAAAAATGTTATCTAAGGCAGTAATATTTAACCATACACCTGAACATAAAAACATTCATCCAGCAAGCTAAAATATTTCAGGAAAGGGCAATATAATSATAGGTTTTTTGAAGCTCATGTCCACAAAAAATAAAATAAAGGAAATTTCAAGAATTGAGCAAAACATTTTCAAAAAAATTAGTCAAGGCTAAAAGGGATTTTGTGAAAGCACCATATTTGTACSTTAGAGAATCCCCAAAGATTCTTTAAAATCACTAATTTGTATCTTTTTATKCAATCATTACGTCAAACAAACTGTAAACCCTTATCATGTAAAATTTATCAGTGGAAAATTATCTGCAAAACACGGTGACGATGCATGACTATGTGGAAAATACATTGTCTGAACAAGAAWGTTTTCTTTAGGAACTTCACAGTTGACTAGATCAATGGATACCACAATATCAGTTCAGACACTTTCATTTGGTTTGTGTTCAAAATATTTCACACCGCACGTCTACTTGTTGTTTTTTTTTTTACTTGTTTGACTTGAAAGGCTAATGTTTACAGAAATCTAGGATGTAAATGTACCTCTAATGAAACARCAATTAAGTTGTACTCACAAATAATTTGAGGAAATGAAGGTTTTTTTATTTCTAAGTGTTAAAATAATAATAAAATTCGGATGCTTGAGCCTTGTTTTTTTTTAGCAAAAATATGAAAGTAAATAATGCATTATTCAGGAATGATGTAAATATAGTTTTCAACCTAACTCTGTCGGAGAGTGGCTAAATATACATAAGCTTAAAAACATAATGAAATAAAAARCAAGAAAAAACTCAGATTTTGACATTGGCTAGYGTACAATGRGCTTCACATGAATATGACGACCACACTCTCAATCAAACCTTGAAAACATCGAATAGAAATAACAATGTTGATTGTCAATTAAAAAATAGAAAAGCAAACATAATGTGTACTTTATCAATTCCAATGCACTGTTAACTAAAGTTACATATACTAATCAACTATCTAAGAATATAATAGTAACTTAAAAAACCATACAAACATATCTACAGTATTTACATTACAACAATGAATTGTCATTCTTACCCTTTCAAGTTGAATTTCAAGGGACTGATAATCATCACTGGGCTGAACAACTTCATTTTCCTGGAAGAATCAAAGCACAGTTTAAATGTATTATTTATAGTGATGACAAAGAGAAACATACTGATAAATCACTGAACATTGTACATGAGATAAAAACAAGATGGAAACAAAGACGGCACTGCATGAAAGACCATGTGGACTATATAAACTCATCTTGTTTTGATTATCTAAGTCCAGCTTTTATTCAACTTAGACAAGATCATGACTCCAAAGAATATATTTTTCATAGATGGCTGGTTCTTTTATGCTAAGCCATAGAATTACGGTTTAATCATGAAYGAAACCTCCGATACTCTGGTCATGCAATGTATAAAGCATGAAGATCGTAAATGTGTAATATCTAGAAGGTAAAATCACTAGTGACTATCTCTGCAAGACACAAATGCAATTAAAACAACTGATACCTAAGTTACTTGCTGTTGTGCCTTGAACTAATTAAATTTGATRTGATTTCAAAAACCCTGAACAAAGTGTGAACACCACACAAGATTGGTATAAATTACTCAGACACAAACAAACTGGGAATAATTACAGCCCAAGAAAACACAAGTCAACTCTAATTTGAAGACTTRCAATTGAAGAATAAATATCAATTGGCTTTCAGTGGTGACAGAATGAGTTAAATCAAATGACAGGACTTGAGTGTTTCTATGATCGCTTAGAGGCACAARAAGAACTCATAACATGACAGAGAGAACCTTAAAATTCAATCTTTTTCATTTGTTAAACCAGCTAAAATATTAATGTCACAGAATAGTTGAGAATGTACTGAGAAGCTTGAAATAGATGCTTAATAATCTGAGAAAAACATGAGTCATACAAGATGGCTGCCTTCAAGATATTTTGAATAAAACATCTTCCTCATGAAATGCTCAGTAGACTTTGAAATTATATTATCTAACTATATTTCACTTCATTTAGTAAAATATAAGAACTGAGCATTGGAAATCATTATATAAACACAGTAAAAACATAGGAAATTTCAAAAAATATATGAAATATATGGAGTGACTCAATAAACCACAGAAACTTGGCTGTCAAGCTACAGAGGCACAAAAACCAAAACACAAAGCAAAGATGAAGAAGAAAAGTTACCTTACTAGGCCCATCAGGCTGTGTAACTGGTGGTAAGGACTCATTCTATGAAAGAGAAAAAACAGAAACCCAACATGAACCTCTGAGGAGCAACCCCAAGTAATGCACTCCTCTTTGAGTACCATACAGTGAATTCTATGTATATATTAGACAGCAAATACACATGCAAAAATCMTTTACCACTGCTGTGGAGCGACTACAACATCCAAATGGCTTAACCATCCTCATTCAAATCATTTTCAGATAGCTATGATTGTATACAGTTATGGAGGAGGGAGTTGGAGTTGTCTGTGTGATATGCTAATTCAACTGGACTCTAAGCTCTGATCAGAATGCGGAAAGTGATACCAAATCAGGTAAGCTTCATTTCATAAGCAAAGAATATCAACTAGAAAATGGCCTTCTTCTTTGAATCCTTCTATTGTCTAGTATTTACWCTTTATAAGAGGCTCAAATTATAAACTACAACAGTATAAGCATGAATATTTGTGATTCAAATTGAAGTTCTCCCTAGCTAGATGATAGCAGTGGCTACATATGGCATTGATTGTGCTCTCCCTGAATGTCTTGTCATATTGACATKGTTGAGAGAATTGACACCTAATCAGTTAAGCTTTTGTGATGGGCTATTGTTTTCTCTACACTTGACTGAGCACATTCTGATGACATCACAGGTCAAACATTTGAAGGGCAAATAAACACAAGCTGATAATCATTCAGATTTGAATTGCTTTCATAAAGATAAATTATATTTCAGAGAAATGATTTTTTAACACTTAGAATTATAGAGAAAAGATTTATCTTGGAGTTGTTAATTTAATGGCTTTTATAAAGCCCTGATATATCATAGTTAACAGAAACTATGGTTAGTGTTACAAGGTATTTTGAGTATGTGAAAAATATGAAACTAGCAGTTTATGATGACCTTATAGCTATAATATCTTGGACTTTATCTGTCATCAAATTCATTTACTTGGTAAGAGTATTTCAAAATGCTGTCATGTCCATGTTATTTAGCTTTTCTTTACTTTATAACAAAATTGTAAAGCCATGAAAGAGCAATCAATCCTTATTAAATTTGTTTATTAATTTACACTAAAATATAGTTAGTTGATAAAATCTGACCTTTGATCAAATAAAGACAATTGAATTTTGATTTGAAATTCATTGTTTTAGTTGAGAACTCAAACAAAAGAATAATGTTAATTTGTTTACTATTGTCAATTAAAGTATGAAAAAACCTGAAGGACTAATGCTGCTTAACTTTAGTCAAAATAAGCAAAACAATAGAAGTATATTTCTGCATTATGGTCAAATAAATTAAAACATAGACATAATAGCATTAATTAAACTTGTAAATGCAATCATGCATAAAAATGCATATCATCAATATTATGCCAGAATTATTATAATACCCAATTTTGTCCAAGGTTTTATTATTTTATAATTATTTTTTGAAATAAGAATTCTAACTGGCTCACAAAGTTTCAAAATTGCATTCATTTCTCACTCACTTTTTTCCTGTCCATAAAATGTCCACTTAGAATTGTGCATTATTAGGACCCAAAACTTGCACAAAAGAACATGTTGCAAAACTGAACATATTTTTGTCACATTATCACCTTTCCTATTTATTTGACTTTGCCTGGATTTTTTTGTACTTTCAAAGGAAATTATCTTTTTAAGTTGCTTCAGACTGATTGTAAATAGGAAAGAAGTGTAAAATCCTCATGATGAGAGAGATAATAGAACACCAAACAACTTGTCACATATAATCCATGCCCTGCAATGCTGGGACTCAGAACTCCTCAGTCATGGAAATCAAGAAATAAAACCACAAATCCCAAGGCAAAAAATACACACAAATAAATATGAAAAAAAAACCTTTTAGTTAATGAAGTGAATGTAATATATGATTCAGCCACAGATAATAAAATCACAGTTCAATGGTTATTTTCTGGTGATATTGCTTGGCACAAATTACCAAGAAGCCAACAACAGTATGGTTAACACCACACTTGGTAATAAAACATTGACAATTTGAGGATATTTTTAAAAATATTCAAGAGCTGAAGTATAATTATTTGCTTTGTTGTTTTCATAAATTTATATTTCTGGAACAACCAGGTTTCCTCTTTATTTCTATGAAGTAAATAAACAGGTCATTGCTACAATAACAATGTTTTTTTTTCTGCTACAACAAAATAAAAATTTAAACAAGTCATTCCAGTCTCTTGTTGGTTTGTTTTGTACTTTTACTATGCCAAACAAAGGAAATCTTGGAATTCAATTATCAAAGAATTAGTTACAGTAATATTTCCTGCATAGAAATGAAATCATTTCACAGATTCCGTTCATTGTCCTTATTTTAATACCAGAAAGTAATCAATAATTCAGAAGCTTCAATTATATTTGGTCAGTGAAAATATAATAGAAAAAYGTCTACTTCTATATAGAAAGCGAGAAACATTACAAGAAGATAAATAGATAGCTTTTCATTCATTTACACCCAGCAATAAAATCCCAGATTGCTTCAAATACACACAAAAACTTCAGTTCAATTCAGAAAGAAGCATAGACAATAATTTATCACGTTAGTTAAACTGAAGAACACATACCTTGGTACATTTATCCATAGTTAACATGGAAAATGGCATTTAAATGTTTTTACTGGAGTACAAGAAGTCATTGTAGACAATTTACTAATTTATCTGCATGTTCTGCAGTCTCATGCTGTTTGAAATAATGCACAGAAAAGGAAGAATACACCTTGGTGTACTAAACCTTATGCTTGGGTTACTGGGATTTGATTGGCCAAATCATTTCAAATTATATATAATTCAGAAAGGGGCCTCACTCTAAAGTCAGTTTTCCCAGGGCTAGCAAGACATATTGTATATTTTAATATTGAAAAAGCTTTTAATCAGTACAAAGCAGTACAAAGTTAACACCTTGAACTAATTTATTCCTCTCATATGCAAACCTTRGTCTTCACTTCATTTCTGCTACTATTTGAATAGATTTTTTTAATCTATTTGAAGTTCAAGCTGTTTCTTAGCATTGTCAAGCAGTTATGTGTGACAGTTAACAAGTGCAACAATGCCTTATCATCCTTTGGCCTTGATAATATCATGAAAAATATTATATTAATAATTTTCTGTATCAAAGCCATATTACTGGTGCAGTAGGAAATATTGCTCAATATATATATAATTATATACTATACATAATAATTATAATCATTAAAAATATTTATTATGGAAAAATATGCTTTCCCTCAACAGCATGCAATTTTGGAATTTAATATGGGTTGCTGCAATACTGATTATTTTCAAAATATTTGTATTTGATTAATAATAATAGTTTCTTGTAAATTGTAATTAAAGATGACATTTTGTCCAGGTTAATCAGCTTCCAAGCCATTTTGCTGCACCTAAAAACGATAAACATAGAAGCTCGAATGAAGATCAAAAGCTTTAAAATGACAGTTTCTTGATCAAAACACACCAGCATGCCATCGAGGGAAAGCACCTTGCGTATGAGACGATTGTATTTAGACCTTGATTTGTGAAATTTAAGCTTGACATTANCAACAACAAACAAACAAAGCAAACAAACAATGAAAGAAGAGATATATTATAAGGGGCCACCACCAACAGCTACACTTATTTTCTGTTTTGAAAATAATAATCTTAAAAATACAAATAATTGTAGGCACCTGAATGGATAAACCAATATACTGAACTGATATCATTTTTTATAACATGCAATGTATATATGATATTCAACTTCAACTGACTAATTTTTTCAAACCAATTGAATGACTGTGGTGTATTCCTGTCAGCTTTGGCCCTTTTTATAACTAAAACATTCATAAAGCTAAACATCAAGTTTATTGAATCACTCACAGTACCTGGTATTGACTAGTTGGAGACACTTGATATCTCTCTGAATCATTCGCCATGAATCCAATTGGTCTTTCTTCTTGTAGAGGCACAGGAATCTAAAAGATGAATTTATACGTTTAGTGCTCAGTAGTAGGTCTAAAGACTAAATGCACTGGAAAGTTATCAAGTTAGCCTTTAGTTAGTAGTATAGTTTATCTTGGTGTTTTGAAGWAAATGAAAGAGAGAAAAGAGAAAAATAATTTGTGAAAGTAATTGAACACAAATGATAATTTCTATTTCAAGGTGAATGAGCTGAAGTGAGAGTAAATATACTGTATGTCCAGGATTTTATCTGATGCTTCAATAGTGGTAGTTCCTTGAGAAGAGATTCAAAGTTGGGTTTATAATAATGTTTCCCTCACTCAACAGATGATGACCCCCCTCCCCCCCTCCCCCCCCAAAAAAACACAGGGATCCCAAAAATTTCTTGAAGGCAAATATCAGAAACATACATTACATGTATCAACAACTGCTTTACAAAATATGGAGCTAAACACTTTGACGAAACAGGTCTGTAGCTATAAATCAATGGATCCCACTGAAAGCATTTAGCTCAGAATTTTTTGTAAAAACTGCATTTAATATTTCTAACCCAATACAAACTAAAAATAATTGAATGAGATACTGATAAGTTATGAAAAAGAACTAATATCAATCTAAGCATTAAGCAACTTCCAGGAACATTGCTATCCTTTCTATTGGAAACACTGCCTTTTAAGCAGTCCTGATACATGTATATTGGATCTCATATACAGTGTATATCTTGTAGATATTAGGAATAAATTGAAAATAGAGTATAACATTAAATGTGTGCAACATTGCTGATCAAAAGACCTTTTGGATCTGTAATCTACTCATGTTGAACAGTTTTAGTGTTTGTACTCTAGTGTAAATTTTTACTAAATAGTGTAGATTTTGCATAAATTAAAATATAACAATTTTTTAATATATCATATCATTTATTTACTGTTTTTAYATTTATTTACTKATTTAAAAAAAGAAAACCCTGCTCCCAGAGTTTTGCMTAATCTTTCTTTGGATATTTGTTTTTGTGACGTGAAGAGCCCAGTGAATATAAATGAAAATACTCTAGCTCAAGCCTCCAGTACTTCAAAATTTCAGTTGTACTAAAATAGTGGTCACATCATCATAGGCTTATGAAAAAGTTTTATAAGTACATGATATTTGTAATAAAAATGTGTGCTGTGTTACTTATTAGATTAACAGTTGGAATTATACACGGCCACAAAAAGATAGAAAAATAGTGACGTTGAACGTTGGCCCTTCAGTGTAGTACAAATTCAACAGATAACAACTGTACGTAATAACATGCATAATACTGCGGAAAATACTTGAAATGTGCAAATACAAGCACAATGTACACATCCCTTACACAAAACGTCAAACTCAATGTACACAACAGATCAATTCTAATCTCAAGGAATCACTTATCAAAATGCTAACTATACCACAGAAAGAAGCAGTGTTAAATATATTAGAAAGAATGAAACAGCAGTGGTAATAGAAAATGATAGTAGTGATACAAGTGTTTTTTCCCCCTAAACCACACAATAAAAAGACTGATCATGTTAAATACTTGTAAATTAAACTGCTTCAGTAGTAACAATGAACTAATCCAGGATTAYTCTGGAACCAGCCGAACATAAACAAGGAATCAAAACATAGATAGAATGAAAACACGCAAGATTTAAAGATGAAAAAAAGTTACACTGTATTTCAGTGACCAATGCATTTTAGTGTACACCKGTATTATTAAATGTACTGGAAATATTTTGACCCAAGTAAGAAGAAATAGTATCCTTTAGTTATAAACAAGATTAGTGGTACAACAATTACAAATAATTTTCTGGGTCAATGCTGAGCTAATAATGCTGTGTATTCTCCAGACTAACTTAGCAATATTATTTTCTAGCTTGTTGTTAAATGTTTTTTTCTAAAAGTGTAGAGTTCAATGCCACAATATTATTTCTTACAATTTAAAAGCAACAAAAATGTGGTGATAAGGGAAGTGTTGTAAGGGGGACGGACATAAACATGTCAAAAAATTAAAAGTGTTAATCCCTGAATTTACCAAACAAACCTACTAAGATAAAACATTTCCTTGTATTCAAACAAAATGTGATCAGATAGCAAATGGGAAAGAACGGTATTACTCCTAATACAATACAATCATGTCATAAATTAATAAGTCTGGCAAATAGTTAAATCTACCCTGCAGTTGCCTAGAAATATTAAACGACAGAGATAACAATTCGAGTTCATCAAACAAGGGACCGATAGTATGCAGTGATCTACAGTCAACCAACCATAAATTCAACTAATCATCCGTGAAATTCAAAATAATACAATATCTTCTGGAACAACAGAGTCTTCAATTGATTACATACATCAACAATAGCTATTTTTAACCAACTATAGGAGCGTTATAGGTATATCGCACCTTGGATTGATGGAGGTGATCATCTTGCTCCGAGCCAGCTTGATGTTCCCACTTCTGGGCGACTTGCAACGTTTCGTCCGCTTTTTGATCTTGGGATTTACTTCCATCTAGTAATGTGGCTTCATAAAACTCTTGTATATCTATTGATAAAACCACAAATTGAGAACTTAAGCTGTGTTATTTTAAGAAGAAAATGACAAAATTTCAAATGCAAAATGGGCTTCAACAACGCCAACGAGATAGGCTAATCTCGACCATGGACGACAAAACACTCCAGAAAGTCAAACCGACTGAGACTGTACTAATACAATTGCAACGATTAATACCTATACAAACTTGAGAGTTTTTTTAAACGAATATTTAACAGTTGATCGGAAAGACTTATGAGAAAAATAAATAAACGGATTGATAATTTCACAACACACCAACCTAGCAAAGCAAGAAAAAGCCGACTCTGGAATATCCTGATGACTCGTTCTATGGCTCCTCGTAGCGCCTTGTCTTGAGGTTTGGTTAATTTTTCGTGGTACTTTTCTAACAGCTCTAGGGCTCGGTCTGCGTCTAAACAAAAATCACGGCGGGTAAGCGTTCAAGTCCAAAGACAATCATAGAAGTTACTGGCTAAGCCACGAACGCATATCGTCATATCACACATTCTTAACTTTACCTTCTCTGTGAACAGGCATTGTTCAGAGCTGTACTACGTCAAAACTCACACATATACATTCATAAGGCAATTCTCCAATCCCCATAGACCAACTATGACGAATTTCAGCAATGTTACTTGTAGAATATAGAGGAAATACAAGACAAAATGCGAAAATACTTCTTCCACAAGCAGAATCTCCAATTTACAAGAACGCCTTTCGCGTGCCATAGAGAGCGGCAGTTATCACGTGCACATTTCCACCAATCACATCAGATTATTTCAGCCACATGTCTAAAATGAAAGCCTGTGATTGGTCAGTATTCAAAGTCTTGTTATTTATGGTAGGGAGGTAGTATGTTGTAAGCTTCAGTGTCCTAACCGAATCATATCAATTAGTGCATTCCTCGCTGGTATAAATATATACATTTGCCTCAACGTGGGGTCAGTAACTTTGAGAGACGGCAAAAATGCATTTATAATTTCCGTCATTATAAAGTGTCATGTACTTGTCAAATTCCAAAATGTCGTGTAGACAATACAATACATGTCAATACTGTAACGTTCGAAATTGTCTAGGAAGTTTCATTTTATTCTCATTTGGGGATCCTCATTTCCAGTTCCGTTGGCCCTCTTTGAACAAATAAACGAGCAATATGGTGCATTGATTATCTCAATATAGGTCCATTTTGCACCGCATTGTAGAAGTTCTATAGTAGCACTATGCGTTTCAAATCAAGTACACCTCCAACGTCGATTCGGAATTTTGAAGGTCATATTTTCAAAAMAAAGGTTGTCCGTTGACACTCCCACTCCCTGACTCCCACTTATTTTAATTGCCAAATTGGACTACCTGTGGCACTGTTGACATTCGACCTGCAAAGACATCTGGGAAACTTCAACAGACATCTCGATTTTTAGGAAGAAACATCAACAGCACTTCTCTCTTAAATTAATCAACATTTAGGAAAATATAGATATTTTTACTTTGGATTTATAACCAAAAGGCCTTCCACTGAAGATCAATGTTGGTCAGGCCAAAAACCAGTGGATTTCGTAAGTATTATATCGATAGTTATGTAAAGCAACGCCGCCATTTTTAAGCATTTTCTCTGCTGGCAATGAGATAAAGTCGACATTAACTTATGTAAGCGAGATCGTTTGCCTCTAAATGGATTTCYTTATGGGGTATTCTCCGTCTGTTAACCTATTATATGTTTTGTACTGTCTGAAAAATTCACAAGACAATAAAGTGATATTTGTATACACTGAGATGAATATCAACTACACAAGTGCAATATTGTGATGTCCTGATGTACAACTACCATTCGTTTTTCGTTTGGTATTTGGCTCCTGGTATTTCTTCATATTTAACCGTTTGTTCTCAAATAATAAAAAAAAAATAACTACATTCAACTTTGTGCATGACACCATAAACTATTGACATCCCATCATCTACATGTATTCACCCGACTTGTCACAAAGAAAAAACCGTAGGTTAAGCGAGGTTGAGCAAATTACACACTGATTGGTACACTGAAATAGTGATTGCCACTGTAACCAGCACTTCAGAACATTGCATGACATACTGTATATGCTGTAGCCTGCGTACCAGTTTTAGGAGAGGGAGGAGAAGGAAAATGGAAGGGGTGGGGCAAAAAAGGGCAATAAACAGGAAAAATATTCCAGATGATCAGTTCAACTTGAAACTCATATTTTTCATATATTATGGGCTTGAAAACTAAGTAAGATCAGATATTTTCTTATTCTACATTGTAGATCATGCTCCAGTAACAAAAGGACTTCTATTGCTAAATGGGTCAGCATCTTTGTTGAATATCTTGCTTGCATCATCTTCAATAAAAAGATTGATCCCAAGTTATGAATGGATTGAGGTTGTACATCATTTAAAGGTTTGTTCATTAATGTTAATATCCTAATTATAGTCCCAAAAGGGTCTTAGCAACTTACTGGTTCAATGGTGTCATTGTTCAAAACATTTTAATATTTTAAGCATTATTTTGTTGTTATGTCCTATAGGCACAGGGCAAACAACCCCCTCTCCCCTCCTTCATTACTCTTTACCTTCCCCCCTCTTCCCTTCCCGTATCCATGTAAAACAGAAAGAAAAATAAAGATAGAAAAAAAAATCTGGTGTATCATCTGCTGTTCAAATATAGTGTCATTTCAGCCCAGTGAAATACTGCACACGTTACTATATTGATACTATCAACTTTTTGTCATTTTTGTTACAGATATTTCATGCCCTTAGCTCCACTATATATTTCTCCAATGCAAGGGATCTTCTATGTGGTTCCTTTCTTCTTTATACTTTTCGCATTTTTGAGAGACGATATGGGTCAAGAAAATTTGCTGTAAGTTCCTGATATTTGAATATAGAATATTATTATATCAATGTGAGTTCATTTGTTGTGATCTGACATTTAATATGTTGGTCTACATCAGACCTTGTACCTCCAGCCATGAGTATCAATTACAATAATAAAAAGTTGTATTATTTTTCAGTCATACGTTTTTGCAAGCACAATCATGACAGTAGGATTGCAATTGATCGCTGTTTACRTCATAAAGTACCTGGGACATGACCCTGGTCCAATACCATCTGGACTGTATCCTAGCATTATATCTATTTTTTATTATTTTTTAAATGACATTTTTAGCATTGCATTTATGACATTGAATACTAGATTATTCCTGAAAGCTGATATCTATATTGATTCTTCCTTGACAAAATATGATCAGGTATGGTGTTGTTTTTGCCAGTCTTGTACAATATTTCTTTGATATTCCAACTGTTGATGCTATAACATTTCTCAGCATTCCAATATCAGGCAAAGTATTATGCTATTCTGTGGCTTTTCAGGTACAGTTTTTTGTGATTGTTGTCATCTGACTTTCAATATAATCATGCCCACTTAAATGCTATTCTTTTTCCTTTCTTCTTTGTATGGTTTCTTTTGTCTTATTTTCTGCTACTATGCAAACGTCAGTACTCTTACAGTGTATAATCTTTTTATGTTGTTATATGTAAATGTAGCTTTTTATCCAATATTTTTTTTCTCATTTTGTAGATGCTACTAGGAAGTAAAGAGTCTTTGTTAGCTGGAGCATGTGGAATGGTATGATGGTATTTTAATAATAATTTTACACTTCAAGATATCAGTAAATACTTTCTTGTTGATCTTAGTACCCTCTTTAAGTCATAGCTGTTTGCAACATGCAATGCTTTTACTTAAGTATGTAAATCACATATCATTTGGCTACTCAAATTTTATATTTCACCTCAAACAAATGATGAAATGTTCACTAACATTTGTATTCTATAGGTTGCTGGACTTATTTACAAATTAAATGTTGCATATGTTCGGTCATGGCTCAAGATACCAAATGCTTTGACGGATATCTTGTCAAGGACAGTAAGCTGGATGTTTGTTGGTGATGATGAACCAAGTCCTCCTACTGTCATGGGAGCCACACTTGAGATCCAGGAACAGCAACAAATGGAATGGTATGAGCAGCAGTTATGGAGAAGAACTGCAACTGCTAACATGGGTCGTACCAGGGTATGGACACAAGTGTTTTCTTGTTGTTTTTGTTATCTTCATCATTGATATCATCATCAATTCTTGGCAGAGGACTAGAGATTTGACACAATAGTATTGGATTAAACATATGTGTGAAGATGGGAGAATTAATGTCTAACTAAATCAAAGAAAATTGCCTGACTTGTTTAACTACCTGTTTTGTCTCTTGGAGACTTGAAATACCAATTGCTTGAACATTGTTAAAATTACCTATGTTAGTTTCCTCAGTTTTTCATACATTTGGTTTTCAATTGACCAATGCATTATGGATGTTATTATATTCATGTGTATCTTTCAGACAAGATCAAGAACTGGTCAAGGCTATGCTGAGGTAATGGTGCCCCAGGCAGCAGGTCTAAGAGAATGGCTGATGGGAGCCGATGAAAACCAGGACACATCAAACTTTGATTGGCAAGCAATGATGAATCATCATAACAATGGGGGTGACACACCCCAGCAACCAACTGTGGAGGTGTCAGAAGACCAGGTATTAACTTTTCTAGAATAATTATAAAATGATAATGAATATGATCTGGTATATAAATGGTGGCACCAGTTTCTTATTATTGCCAGTTACCAGCTTTACAAGAGGTGGATAAAGTTATCCCCTTCATAGACTTTGTATGGATTTTATCCACTGGATAAGGATAATGGATAGCTGATAGCTCATTGCAACTTTGCATAATCAGCCAATCTGTTAAGGCAAAAATTATGACAAATTATTGGAAAGATATCAAGTCAAGCAAGGCTCGTTTTGACTGTTCAAAGCATCTTTTAGTCTTAGAAGGACATTGCTCATGCTAAGATTTGTCCATTCCAGTGACTTGCACCATTTGTTTCTGCAGGTCTTTTTCTCCATTTTCCAGTTGTTTGATAAACCCTCAGGAGATACAATGTCTGTCAATTAAAACAGTTATTTGTTTATTTTCAGGTCCAAACTTTAGTTGACATGGGATTCTCAAGACAAGACGTCCTTCATGCTCTTAGTGTTTCAAATAATGACATGAATAATGCAACATCAATTCTATTGTCACATTCTTCTTAATTATATTCTTAATGTCTATCTAAATTTTAATAGAATATCTGTAAATAGAAGGAATATGTACATTTTCACTACCTTCAAAATAGGTCAAGATGGATTAGATTTTCTTGCATGGAAGCTGGATAAGCTTATTGACAATAAATATCAACTGACATATTGTCACTTGTTGCAGCAATGATTTGCACTATCCAATTTACTTTTGATCCAATTTGGGTTTTTCTTTGATTTGGGATTCCTGTGTTGTGATTAAAAAAATGATCATGCTGGAGGACACACAGTAGCCTCCTTTGCAGACGTTATTAGTAATGGTCATAAATTCCTCTCCACTAAGGGAATTTATGACCGTTACTAATAACGTCTGCAAAGGAGGCTAGCCAGAGTGGAAAAAGTGAATTTTCTCT